GGACACTTTCAGCACCTGCTCTGATCACGGCACACAATCCAAGATAAGATATGTGTAAACTATTTTAATATCTATGTGGCATATTTTATATTACACCTCATTTCGTCGGGCCGGTTCTATATGAATCACCCTGTAGTTTACCCCCGCGTATTCACAACTGCCCTCCACTGAACCTTATCTTGGGTTAGCTGACTTTGGTTCATATCCTCAGACACTGTTCTCTTAAGACGTATTTGAATACGATGCCCTGTACTCTACGCCAAAGCCTCCCGGTGTTCTCGTACATTCAATTTTGCAGACCCCTATTTTGTACACACTTTTCATCTGTCATTAATTCTACATGTCCCGCTCATCTTACGCTTCTGGAACTGATAGCATTCGGTTAAGCTGCTTGTCTGAAGTATATCTCTCGTTCGGAATGAAAAAGGGCGCCTGAAGCATGGCGCTCAGAAGTAACAGGTTAACATTTTGGAAGAGCGGTATCAAAACGCGCGACGAGGGCGTTCGCGAGAGAGTGAAGCAGTGACGAGAGACACTCCTTGCACTCTGCACAAACGCGAGCCCCAGACAAAACTTACAGCGTTTACCATAGGTCTATAAACATACCCAATTCTTATAAGCTTAGAAACACGGGGATTACCATAATTTCAATTTGCGCAGGTGGAGAACAGTCTGTTATGTTGTTTAGAAAATTGAGTTGGCGACCTCGAGCCATCTGCATGTTAATGAATGCCAGAGAACTCAGCACCAAGTTTCTCTAACTTCTCCGTGATCTAGCATCTTCACAGCGAGACAAACAAGTTAGGAAATGTATGCATAGAGCAGCCATTCTGACACTTGTGTTCACTTACCTACACAACCTTAAGATTTACGGAAATGTGTATTTAATTTTTATCTTCAACTTCCGCTCAAAATATTTTTCGCTCAGATAAATATTTTACCAGTTACCAGCGCGCAGTGAACGCGGGTAGGGCTTCATCGCTGTCCGATTTTTACCAAATTTGGTACATGAGAACAGTTTCATCAAAACTACGCAATATTACATTTAAGTGAAACATATTCAATCGCTTTCGTACTGTTACATGCAGACAGACAGACATAGAGAAGCTAAAGGGCGATATTTTCGAATTTTCATTACGAACGGGCGAAAATGATCGAAACAAAATTTTTCATTCATTCTAATATCAAGAAAGTGTATTTTTGGTTTATCAAGCATATGCTTCTAAGCTAAGCTAACGGACATCTACGGTGAGGCGTGACGCTGTGAAGCCTAGAGGGGGATGGGGTTAAAGTCCCTAAGTCTGCCTATTACACTTAGATAAAAATAATGAACAGACATAAATTAACCTGTCTCGTAAAGGCGCATCCCCCTCCCAAAAATGAGCCTCACAAGGACAGTGAGAATTGCTCCTAGTTCCTTGTTTTAATTAATGATGTTCTCTGAAATGCATAGGTTACATTAAGTGAGATGTGACAGTACGTTGCAATTATGAAGTGAGGACTCGGGAATAGAGCAGTGCGTTGCTAAGGCACTGTGTGGGAGCGTCGAGGAAACCCAAGAATTCTTCGTCAGCAAAACCTGGCCACGCAGCTAAGATTCCGAGGTCGCTCGTGACAGATTTCTCTAAAAGTTCATGCTTCAGAATACGGTCCAGGGATGGGCTCTCGCCAACGCAAGTTCCATAAGAAACAGATTCCTTTATTAGCTGAGCGACTATTAGCTTCTCTTCTCCATGGTTTTGAAATTATTAGTTAATATTTATAAATTTTACAGAAATAGAAAACAAAGAGATGACGAAATTGCGTCCGCTTTCCAAATGCTAATTACTGATTTATAAGGACTTTTTACATTTCAGCCTTATGCGTTTCACTCAGCTGCAGTGAAAGCAGTGTGTTCGTCCTCACACCCCTCTCTACTACGTGTAGGAGGCAGCAAGTCTCCGCTCTGAGACTTTATCGGAATTTCCCTTAAGTAATTATCTTCTCTGAATAAGCCATGGAGTCGCCTGTTCTCTTAGCAACCAATCAGGAAGAGCCAGAGAGTAAGCTCCTTAAAGGATGTGAGCTTCTTGGATTTTATTAATCGGTTTTGACGAACACTTCAACTATCACATGATGGCTGTCGTGACTGAATTTCTTCCTGGTGCTCCTCAGGTCCTGTAGGAATATGATGGGGACTCTGGACGCTCTGGACAGCCGCCACTACGCCTGCACGTATTTCCGGTGCGCTCTTCGCGCGCGAATTTACATACATCACCGGGACTGGCGTTCTTTTGTTTCCGGTGTAACTCTCAAGGCTAATATCATGCAGTGTTAAGTCTCGTGTACCAGACATCTGTCTGAAACTGATCCTTCAACACTGTTCCTTATTCTCTGTTTGGATGCTTACGGCTTCGCGTCATGATAAAAGTAAAGTAAAGGTATCCCTGCAACAGGGCGTGGAGGCCCATATGGTTGTGAGACGTCGAGGTTCCCACATTTTCTCTAGACAATCGGCTCATAGATGGCGGTAAGGTTGTCAGCCCTACGCACGGCCACCCTTTACCCCCAAGAATATTCCTGGTATTAATTTCTGTTAGAGACTGGGTCAACCCCAGGGCCATATGCGGCTGGAACGGTTAGGTCAATTGAAAAAATCCAATGACCTCATCGGGACTTGAACCCGCGACCTTCCGGCTTGTAGCTTAGTGCCTCAACCAACTACACTACAGTGAGAGGTCCCGGGTTCGATCCCCGCCATTTCCATTTTAAAAGCGGCCTCCGTAATCTAGGGGTAACGTTCCCACCTCATGACTCAAGGTACGCGGGTTCAAACCCGGCGGAGGTCGTGGAATTTTTAAGGGAGAAAAATTCAGGGAACAAGTCCTCCGGGAGGGACTTTAAGCCGTGGGTCCCGTGTCGTAGCTTTACGGCACGTAAAAGAACCTCATGTCCCAAGGGGACCACTGTGCCAAATTCAGGATATTTCCCGCCCAACAGTAGTCTCTAACGTCTCTGGTAGATGGGGGAAGCATCAAGAGATATCGCTGAGCCAGTAGAGGCCGAACTCGCTGGCTGAGTCGGGACTGATGGTACGCACCAGTATCGGTAGGGTATAGAGACTGGTAGAATATCACAGGGGGACGTACAATAGACCACTGGTCGCGGTGCATGGGGAAACCCACCCCCTCCAATAATAATAATAATAATAACTACACTACAGCGTGATACTGCACTATATATGTACAGTAACCCCTCGCTAACCGGAGTAGCTATGGGAGGTGAACCGGATTAGTGAAGCAAAACGTAGTCCTAAAAGACAACGCAATTAAATGCTGGATTTAATTATATAAATAGTGCTGAAGAAAATACATAACGGAATATCACTATAGAATTTATTTAAAAACTACAAAAAGCCAAGCCAATCGCAGTGGCCATGCAGTCTTGGGCATGAACCGTCTTCGCCCGCTCGAACATTGAGATGGTGGGTTCGAATCCCACTAGAGGCAGGGATGTCTGTGTGCGTTTATTGTGTGTTTGTGTTGTTCTGCGTGTAGATAGCGGCTTTGCGACGGGCTGATCCCTCGTCTAAGAAGTCCCACCGACTGTGTATAGATTAAGAAACTGAAAAAGCAGCCAAGATCCACAAGGGTTGTAGAGCCATAGTGACATAGACAGATAGATAGAGAGATAGATAGATAGATAGATAGACAGATAGACAGATAGATAGATAGATAGATAGATAGATAAAAAGCCAATACATGTATTCAATAACAGAAGACTGAGAAGTAGTACATGTTTTTGAACGTAACGATGCAGGTTTAAAGAAACTGTCAAGTTTGTGTGAACAGACAAGTGACTCATCTGCCTTCCTAAATGTCATGTGTCTTTCAAAGTATGCACTCAACTGTGAAGAGCATTCTCTTCCATATTTCGGGCCGGATTAAGTGTAACCGGGGTAAACAGGGTTTACTGCATTCACTTCCAGCGTCTTTCCAGTAAACGCGCTTCATTAATTAAAATCAATTGCTATTCGAATACGTCACTACGCGAATATTTTTCTCTACAAAGTAACGGCAACAGTTACTTTTGTCACGTTGCAATGTGATGCCGTGTGGTTTGGTAGATATGAACCAACGTTTCGGGTAGACCTACTGCCTCCATCTTCAGGATAGCTCTTTTTTCTAACATGCAGATGGATGTTCCTATCTATCAGATTACAGGTCGTCACATTCCTGAAGATAGAAATCTTAATGCTGACTGCCCTGGTCACTTAACATCACATGACATACAGACACACCGCTACTGGCTGCGTGGGCTTACAAAGTTGCTTCATGACTCTGAAGATCTCGTACGTTGGATAAAGTTATTTCTGTACCTAATTAAGCACAACATCATGAAAATGAGTAGGCGAGTGATAGTATAGTGCCACCATTTCAACTTCGGCACCCGGTAGAGGTCAGTAATGCACCAACAAGAACCATAAATTCAATTAAATCAATAACATACACGTATAATATAAATTCCCATGCCGAATTTCATCTAAATCAATTCAGAAGCTTCGGGGGGGGGCAAATTTTTTCATTTCATCAGTAATCTGTCATACGACAGGTCCACAGTCTCCTCTAAAAGAGTTCCTCCACTTGATGCGATCTAGAGCTTTCTCCTTCAAATAAAAATATCCTCTTCTGTCCCCAAGGTCATCCAGCATCTTCTTACGTCCATTAAATGAACTGTGCAAAATATACAGAGTGTGTTTGTACACTTCGCACGCAGAGGCCGTGAAATCTGTGTCTCCTCGTTGGTCCGATCTGGACAGCTTCGCGCTTATTTGATGACGCTGCTAGTAGCTTACCTTCATAGCGTCTGCTGGTACGATGATTGGCGAGTAATGAAATCGGCCGCCATGTGGAAGGGAGAAGTAGTGGCCTGATTTGAAATATTATCCCTAGCCTCGACCTCTGCCACACAGTCCTTACGGTGCGAATGTACTAACAAACGCTGTTCTTGATATGCCACAGGTAGCCTGCCGCCATGAAGAGGGTGATCCTGGCCCTCGCGTGGGTCGCAATGGCCGCGTCTTACCGGACGGACAACCCGATCACCGAGCCTCCAAGCATTGTACTCGCCGCACCCGATGACGTGGACAATATGGCCGCTCTGGGCAGCGACTGTGAGCCCGAGAAGAGCATCAAGGGGGCCGAAGAACAGGGTCAACCCCCATCTGACCGTCGGCAATGTTCGAGCGGGGAGGCGAACAGCGTAGATTCCGCTCCAGAACGATACACCCTGGGAGAGACAGGGCGAGGAGGAAGGGCGACTGATAACTACATTCGGTTCGGACGAGGTGGAAAGCAGGACAACTTCATTCGTTTCGGTCGAGACAGGTCTGACAACTTCATACGATTTGGAAGAGGAAGAACAGACAATTTCATAAGGTTCGGACGTGGCAGACAGGATAATTTCATCCGCTTTGGGCGAAATAAACAAGGCAATTTCTTTCGTTTCGGAAGGGACATGAGAGAGGGCAACGACCGCGACGAAACAGACGCAAACTCCAAAGACGAATTATCCACCAGTAATAATGTGAGGTTTGGGCGGGGCGGTAAGTCAGACAGTAATTTTATACGCCTTGGTAGGGCTCGACCTAACAGCGGTTTCATTCGATTAGGCCGTAGAAATGACGAGCTCTCACAGCCTGGAGAAATTCGCCGATCTAACAGTAATTTCGTGAGGTTCGGCCGTCAGACAAATGAAGACAAGTTCGAAAGACTGAGCAGATCATCAGGAAGCAGCGATCTGAGGCGAGGCAAACTGACAGACCGAAATTTCATCCGGCTAGGAAGATCTGGACCGCTGTACAATGATGTTACAGAAGGAGAAAGCAATGAGAAGTATGAAGAAAGGTTAGGCCGATTGGACAAACGTGGCAAGACTCAAAACTTCGTACGTTTTGGTAAAAGGTCTGACGAAGACGAGCAACTGGTACGTTTTGGACGAGACGTTACACACATGGGGGGCTCCGCTTCAGGTGGCAATGGAAACAATACTACCAAACATATTCGGAGCAGGAGATCCGTGACGTTTCCTGCCGAAGACGAAACGTCAGAAGACTCTTCTGATTATCCCGTCGTACTTTCGAATAACGCATATGATGATAAGATATCATCGACCCTTGATGATTCTCAGATACCGTTCAGGTACTATTCCCCTCTAGCGTCTGGTCTACCAAATTACATTCTGAGTCCAGAGCTCTCGGTTCTGGCTCCCTTGACTAACGGAGGAGAGACAAAGAGAGTAAAGGGGGATGAACACAGCAGAAATTATATCCGACTGGGTTAGACACAGCAAGATTACCGCATGACTCACGTCATACATGAGATTGCTGAACAGTGTAAAATCATTGAATAAAACAAAGCAAAAAATAAAATAATTTATTTTTAAAATTGTATAGTATTTTGTTGCTTGTTTAACATCAGTGGCAAAAAAAAATTAGGAATAATTCTGTCTTCGAATTGGCTGTCATGACTTAATCCTATGAACACTTCTGAAGCACAAGTTTAGTCTACTTGGCTAAACGCTGCAATCACCAACACAACGTGCGTGCTGCAGAACGGGTTTGCATAACTTCCGGACTCAAGGCGTCACGGAGCCCCTATAATTTGTCTTCCTGTTACACTACTAGTCTCACACGAAGCGACACTTATTTTTTCGGAATTCCTGGGTTTGTGGGCCCTGTCCACCTTCCGGAATTCTGAAACTACACTTATTCGTATATCGTACTTTTAGACGGTACGTCTGCGGCCGAATACGTTACTAGTTGGTGACTTGCACTGGCAAGGAACTTAAAACTTTTGAAGTTGCCACTAACATGTTTAAAATCTTTCACTAATTTAAATCTTACATTTTATGAGTTTGTGATGTTTCTTCTTGCGGCCATGTAAAGGATAACTGCTTCAATACATGTCAAATAAAATTGTGTACGCACTAGAATCACAGGTGTTTTGTCTACATTTCAAAAACATCAGAAGGAAAACTCGTGTACATGTTGCGAGCTCTTCTCGCTGAACATCAGCACTGAATTTTTGTTGCTGAACTAAACCATGTTCAGATCAATCTAATATTCGCTAACTTTGCGGCAATGGACACTACAAATTATGAAAACATTTCATATCTGGCGTATGAACTTATACAAACGAGGATTCAATGACCCCAGAGAAAAGCAAGTAAAAGCTCCTTTTTCATAACAATTCGTGGTAACAAATGAAGTTTCCAACTGCTAAATGGGAACATTACTGCAAGAAGGGCAGAGATGAACTCAATATGGCCTACACACTTCGAGAGAGAGACACTGTTCAGTGGGGTTCAGGTGGTCGTGACTATGAAGAATACGGTCTCCTGGGACGTGACATCGTGCAGCTTGCACACAAACTGACGTTTCGCACGAAAAAATCACCTCAATCTTCAGAGTCGGAAAATAAACCCAGAAAGAAACAAGCAGAAAAAGGCAGCAAGCTTAGGTAAAATTAAAGCGATGGAAAGTGAACTGACTTTTGTGGTTATGAGGCAGGGAAAAGCAGATGAACAAGATCCTCGCTATTACGGCGCAATTTTGACAATAAAAACTGAGCGGGTTGCATTAAGGGGTATAAGCCAAAAATACTATTTAAACATGCAGTTCCCGTTTCTCTTGCTCCCTCAATACAAAGGCCAAGGTTAATAAATACATTCTGTGGTCAAACTATTATACAGAGATATTTTGATGTTCGAGCGCGTGGTGCATTCAGTAACCACTCTGCTCTGAGGGTTATCAAGAGGCAATCTGAATCGGTATAAGAATAGACAAGGCGTGGATGCATCACGCACTTCACGTCTCGACGCTCCTTCAATAAAATGGAGCGCTCAGACAGCAATTTAGTACGCACGTAATCTTCCCATCATCGCAGTCTCATTGCTGACAGCGTCGTTAAATAACCAACCAGACCAACCCCTATCCTGTACCCACTGGACTCATGAATGAGTAGACCCCAGGGTCGGTCTGGGCTCAGAGGAAAACAGAAGGGTTTATGTCCCAACAGGGAACAGAACACCTCCCCCCGCCCAGTCGCCATATTCCTACCGGAGGTTTTGGGCAATTAGTTCCATGGGACACACTTTATAAAGTCAGAACGTTCAATGAAGCTCGCCAACGAGCCCTATCCTGAGCCAGACGAATCCAATCCACGTCCTCCTTCCCTGTTTCTTTGAGATTCAATTTAATACCATTCTCCTCTCTACGTCTAGGTGTCAAAACTGGCCTCTACCCTGTAGGTCTTCACACTAAAATTCTGTATGCATTTCCCATTTCTCGCATGCGTGCTACATGCTCTGTCCATCCCTATATCTAACAAAATGTACATCTTATGAAGCTCTTCATTGTATGTTTTTCGCGATCATCCTGTATATTATCCTCTCTCAAGTCCCTGTTCTCAAACACAGTCCTGAAGATGGCGGCAGTAGGTTCCTCCGAAACTTCGTACCCACCTACGAGACCACAAGGTGTCACGACAATTCAGATATTAAGACTACTCCTAAAAAAACAGGATGTGTATTGGATTCAACTGGCTCAGAGTATGGACCAGTGAACACGAAAATGGATTTAGGGTTACATAACAAAGGACAGTTTCTTGAACAGCAGAGCAACTATCAGCTCCTCAACGAGAAGTCTACTGCGTATGGGGGTCAGTACGAGCCCAGAATGAGAATGGAGAAGCAACGGAAAGCTTGTCGGGGTGGCCGTGTTAGAAAAAATCGGCTTGTTCTCGCATAGAGCCATCAGACTTTCCTTTGACAAAACAACACGCAAAACTCGTGCCATGTCAGCAATACACACAACCCGCTGTACAGTGACATGCAACCAGCAATACACTCACTCCTATTGTATGACCTGGGNACAGCCAGGAGTGCCAAAGCTGCCAACGGTATGTGTCACATTTTTTGTGCTCTCAATACGAATATGGTTTGCCTCGAGGATACTGTCCTTTGTGCACTACTTTAATTTCCCGTTTTGCCTTTTATTATTTTTTAAATTAATTTTGTATTTATTACGTATTTTTAAGTGCTTGCCAGTCAAAGGCCACTGCTTTTGGCAAGCATGAGTAGAATTACTACTACTACTACTGCTGCTATTTATCATGAGCCGGGATACCGCAGTCGGTATAGCGACTGGCTACTGGCTGGACGACCGAGGGGTCGGAGTTCGAGTCCCAGTAGGGTCAATAATTATCACTTCTCCATTTCGTCCAGACCGGCTCTGGGGTCCACCCAACCTCCTATCCAATGGGTACCGGGGGCTCTTTCCCCGGGGATAAAGCGACCGCGGCGTGAAGCTGACCATTCACCTCCAACTAGTGTCGAGGTCAAGAAAATGTGGATCTATACATCCACTCCCCATACGTCTTCATGGCGTAGTGCTTAATTAGTTAAGCACAGGGACAACTTTACCTTTACTATGAGTATTTAGCGAGTTGATAAAATCCCAGTGCTGTTGGTCCTTCAGTAATTATCGCTTTATATCTGCTAATTATCTCTTGGCACATCTTTCTAAAGCGAGAAAGCACGAGAACAAACACAAATATCCTCCCCCCCCCCAATGAACTAAATTTCCTGTAGTCACTGAAAATCTCTTGGCATAAAGGAACGTTACACAAAACGCACTTACGTGATTAAAATTTATGCAGAGTCTCGAAAAGAAAACACTTTCGTGTTACAAGCAGTACTCGATGAGGCTCAGTCTGTGGGTGACTAGGCGACGGGCTGGACGACTGAAGAATCGGAGTTCGATTCCTGACGACGAAAGATATTTTCTGCAAAACGTCCAGACCTGCTTTCTAAGGGGCTGAGCACTCACCTCCATGAAATGCCGCGATCAACAAGGCGCACAGCCACACCAGCAACCCCCCCCCCACACACACACACACACGCACGCACGTCTTTATGGTGTGACAGGGACAAGTGTACCTTTACCATCACTGGATAAGCTGTACCTGAGCTCTGGTTCAACAATTTAGGGTCAGAGAGACTTCAAAATAATTGAAAATGTTAAAACATGCTGAACCACGTACACAAGCCACGCGCCCTGCAGCACTGTGCTTGCCTGACCATTCGGAACACGCACAAAACTCGTCCCCTTGCTTCATTAAGCATCTGACTGTGATGTATGGGGAATGTGAGGTACAGCTCCATACATTTTTAACCTCAGCACTAGATGTAGGTAAGTGATCACCTTCTTCTGACTCCGGCCGCTTTAACCCAACAGAAAGAACCCCTGGTGTGCACTGGATGTGAGGCTGGGTGGTTGCAGATGCTGTCTGGGCACAGTGGTTAATAAAAACTACGTGCCTCTGCCATGAATTGAACCTGGTCGTCCAGTTCGTACTCCGGACACTACACTGACTGAGCTATTACGGCTCAATCAAATGAGAATGGCATGGAAAAACGAATGGAACTTTGTTAACGCATTTCTTGGGATGTCAGTTTTATCGCTTCAGTTGAGTCTTTTAAAAACTAAACGTGTCACAGGGTGTGCTGTATGAGAGGTATTCTTTCGCCCACCCTGTACTATCGATAGGTGAGAACGGGACTTGTAGTTGTCTTCACAATTGAAATAAAGCCTAACACGTGTATGAAAAATGGCAGTTATTCTACTGACGTGGGTGTGCTCGTCTGTCAGACGTCGTTACGTAATCAGAATTGCTAGACAATCAAGGTATGGCTTCACCAACAGCCTCTCACATAAGTTCACGTAATTCAATTTGTGGCACAAAGCCCTGGTCCATGTTCAGCTGAAGTAAAGTCAGCTTCACTTAAATCTAAAACAAGTAACGCTGACTGCACCCGCAGAAAAAATGTCTGTTACTGGCCCCACCGAGTTTTACGTTTCATCCCTCGCGGTGGTTAATACCAAGACTGCGGCTTTGACACAGTACAACTTGGTAGATCCATGCCAAGGATTCGGAGGAATCCGCTATTTCCATGTTCAGGGTAGAGAAGCAAGACAAGGGTATGGATACAGGGAGAGAAATGACCTTGGTCCGCGATTATTTCGTCGTCAAAATTGAGTTCAGTGGTTTTAACGAGGCACAGTGCATGTAAATACACTGAACCTAATAATTTAAAATGCACTACATTTATTCATGCTGAATGTACTCGGACCTATGTAAGAGCTCAGGACGGACTACAAAAAACGTAAGATCAATAACTGAGCTAATGCAATTATACTCTGGTGTGAGAAAACTGGATATCCTGAGGGGGACGGTGCATAGGAAAGAGACAGGCTCTACTGGGGCCACAGTCGTCGGTGTAATCAGTCTCTGTTCTTTGGGAGCGCGTGTGAACCCTAGAAACAGGGCACCAAACGAAATCACACATTTATTAAGGTACCAACATTGAAGACAGACAGTCTGCTCTGTGTGGGCTACAAGCTAACATCTGCTGCAAACTTTCAGTACTCTGTAAGTATTAATTTTACTTGTTACATTGGATGTAAGTGGGAGGGAACGCTCAGTTCACAAATATGAGACTACACGCTTTCGTTTTTTTCTTAAATCTCAGGGTTACAACATTAATTAAATTAAATTTACTCGTGCCTAAATGCAAAGGAAACTCGAAGTGACGTGTCTAACATAATGTTGGATTTGGGGTTTCCGCTACGGTGACTATGAACAGCGGGGTTCTCTGGGTTGTGACGCCGTGAATTTCGCAGAAAGCCCCACGTTACAATCCACCAGACCGCGGTATCTATCCGACCCACTGCTGACTATATTTCGGACGATGAATCGAAGCGAGCAGCATATCAACACGTGTTTTGAGCGATATTTATCTAAACTCTTCTAATGCAAAGAAGAGGGCGGAAGGAAGAGGGAGCTGCATGATCACACGATGGGCAAACAAAAGGGCTGGAAAAAATACTGAAAGTAAAGGTATGGAAAAATTGTCCCTGTGCTCAATGAATTAAGCACTACACCATGAAGGCGTATGGGGGAGTGGATGTATAGATCCACATTTTCTTGACCTCGACACTAGCGGGGGGTGAGTAGGAAATAATGAAGAAGATACGAAAATTACACAAAAATACACAAAATTAAGGGAATTCGTATTAAAAATTCAACGGGAATTATAATAGCATTCAACTAAAATATAAACGACCATTTGCTATGAACGTTCCTTTATTATATGCTCGATTTCAGCTCCGTCCCATTTTTATTTTGACGCATCTGCAACAAAAACAAGTTTAAAAACGCGCCATACGTATCTGTCCAAGCATCAGCATGTAACATGTCCAGAGCCGACCAATGGATTTTCATGAAATTTAATGTCGAACGTTACTAAAACTGGTCTACACCTTCCAGTTTCGGTTAAAATCGGACAAAAACAACGGACAGTTCACATGGAGACCAACATGCATTGTTCTTAGGATCTCGTACGTAACTCACTAAATATTTCTCGGAAAGAAAAATGTCTCGAATTGTAGGCGTCGAGGCGGATGAGGCGCGCAAGCACACGCACACACACACACACACACTTCATACCAGCTCTTACAGTCTTACAATTTTCGAGTCAATGAAACAAATATGAGCGAACACTTCAAAATTGTTACATAAAGCGTACATTTCCTAACTTGTTGAATGTTGAGGAAGCCATTATAAAGAATTGAAGGGCTGAGTTAGGTGCCATACAAGTATTACTTACTTTCTGTTGAAAGGGTGTCATGTGTGCTTATATATCGAAAATAAAAGTAAATGTTGGGCAAATAATACACATAAATAAAAGTATACTCGTATATCCTGTGTAATTAAAACTAATTTGAAGCTGCAGGCTATCCATAAAGCGAGATGAAGGGGACCGAGTCGCAGGAGAACTTGGTGCAAGAGAGTGAGTCTGTGCTCCAGACTGAGGAGTCACTTGACAGTCAGCCAGAGTTTTCACTGACTCTGACTGAGAAGCAGTTCCTCACGCACGCAGAGAGGGGTGATTGCGCTAGTGTCAGAAGGTAACCACATTACTGCAACCGCTGGTACTCACCATGACACATGTACGAATTTATATGGGCTATTGGCAGATAGTGACGTAGACCGTTATGTTATCGTTAGAACATCACTAGACTCTACATTCAATGTACTCATACGATAGGGACCAAAGTCGCTATATCAGAGATCTTTTTCAATCACAGAACTTCTCATCTGTATGGTATCCTCAGACATGTTTCGAAACTGGTAACTGTAATGAACATAGAAATGTTGGAACAGCTTCAGTAGGCCGAAGCTACACAAAACAGTGGCTTCATCAGATATCTACAAATGCCCTCCCGTTTTCATATTATTTTCACAGCCATGAAATATCTCTGATGCTATTTATTATATAATAAAACTCAGCAACCAAGCTGTATTTATGACCCTGATGATGGAGACAGAACAGATGTCTGAAACGTTAGTTCACAACCCAACTTCAATGCCAGCTGATCGACTAAAAAAATTTTAATGCATGTTTCAGCCACTTTCAGTAGCTGCATTCACATATCTGTACCAAACTTCTCTATGAAAAGGATACACAAGTTATATGTGTGGTAATGCACCTTGTCATGTGGAAAGTTTACGGATAAAATTCCAAATATTGCTTTCCTGACTCAGATTTTCCCAGCTTCCCGTCAGTCCTTCCAATGTCACTCCCCATGATCACACTTGCAAACTGTTACTATTGTTCAGTTAAGCAGCTGGATAATTGTAACTCTGCCAGAGATCTGTAGAATCATGTCCAAAAATGGTCACTGACAGTCTCTTATCTGGGTAATGGAACACAGTGCAACAAATGGCTCTGCTCATGGTATTTCAGTCTACTTGAGAAATACGAAGGCCAGCCTGAACAGCTGAACATCAACTGCATGGACCCCCTGAACAGAACAGCTCTCATCACAGCCATTGAAAATGAGAACCTAGATCTCATGAAGATCTTGCTTGAGTGGAATATTGAAGTGAAGGTATGTCTTTCAGCATTATCACCTGCTGTGCCTCAGCCATTACTCAGCTTCTGTCCACAGTAACATTACAGAGTTCAGGAAGGCATCAGATGTTTTGGGAAATAATTTATTAAACTTGTTTCCAAAGCATCTCATATAATACACGTAGAGATAACAAAAACAGTAAAACCCAGAGGTATCTATCTTAATCTTGAGAGTGGCAAAATGACATAAAAAAAACTCAGCCCCAACAACCACTCTACAGACAGATATTCATAACAGGATCTGAAGATGACCTACATATACAGAAAGGCAATAAGACATGACATGCAAACATGTAGGTACATACTAATTTGATTAGAGATAGAGAGCTGACAAGACATCTGGGCATTGGTATGATAAGAAAGAGAAGTACACAATAAGTTGCAGATTTAATATAATTCACAGCTAAACTTTAGGTTCCTAAATGCAGAAGAGGGCCCCTTGCATCACAGTACCAGCACATTGACAAATCTTAAGCAATTCAGCCATACTTCATAGGCATTTGTAACTCCAATTTTAAATTCTTGCTTTTGTGTACATGAATTATAAAGTTCCCTCTTTGTATGTACACCCCCCCGAAAATGGTCCCATGAGCCCAAAACATGTTGTAGTATTAGAAACACAATAAATAAGTCACATGTATTTGGATGGCGATTTGCATGTGACTCTAATATAAACAATAGTATAACATAAAAAATGAACCCTATCATAATAATGTCACATTATAAATGAATTACACAAATTCTGAATCCTCTGGGCAGAATACTGAGGATGGCATAAAAATTATGGATTTCGTTTATGTATGAAGCTTGTATGCTTTTGACCTGTGCCATCATCTGGTCACTGAGTGACTGCATAAGCTGAGAACAATCTGGTACCACAAAAACGATGAAGAATACATTTTAAGACATTCCTGCCACACAAATTTAAAAGCTGCGAATGCAGACACATCAATGTACCTGAGGATTCAAAGAAAACTGACTAATCCCAAGACCCAGTCCAGTGTGTCAAGTCTAATGGGGCTTCTGCTCTATCTGCTGACCCTCTTGTCTAGGATGCTCTACTTCATGCCATAAAGGAAGAATATGTGGAAGGTGTAGAGGTGCTCTTGGCATGGGAGGAGCTCAAGCACAAACCAGGTCAACCATATGTAAGTACCCAGAAAGTGACATCAACACAGAACACGTCACATCAAAATCCACAACTTTCATTTCAGTCACTTATATGTTGTATATATTTAATGAGGAATTGGCAAAAATTATTTCTAACTCTTTAAATAGAGTGAACAACAGATTTGTGTATGCAGCCTACTAACCTGTATTTGTCTTTCTTACTGTTGTTTTTGTGAAATTGGCGGAGCAGTCACATGATTAAACAGAATTTACTTTCACAATTTAAGTGTGTTTTATTCAAGATATATTGAAAATGTAAGTCAACATTTAAATGTTATGCCATGATATAACAAATAAGAGTTAAACGGAAGTAAAATATTTCACCTTATTTCTGTGAGGCATCCCATATCACATATAATAATAGTATGAAGAAACACATTTTAACTTTGTCTACAAAACTGGTTTCAGCAGTGATATACAAGAAGTGATTTTCTACTGGGATGTGCTGATTTGCCAACTCAGAACCATTCTGAAATGGAATTCTAAGGCTTTTGATGGAAATGACAAACAGGAGGATTTTACACTGATCCAACAAAAATGTAGTTTCCCAGTGAGATCAGCTCAACAATCTGGGATCAATAGACTGTGGATCTTCAGGTCTGAGGGTATTATTATTATTATTAGAGGGGGTGGGTTTTCCCCATGCACTTAGACAAGTTACTGGTCCATTGTGCGTCCCCCTTTAATTTCTACTGTCACCATACCCTACTGGTACTGGTGCATGCTATCAGCCCCGTTCAGCCAACGAGGTCGGCCCTTGGTGCCTGATATTTCCCCCCTCTACCAGAGGCATTGGAAACTACTTGGGCAGGAAACTTGTTGCCTAATTTTGCTCAGAGGTCTCCTAGAGACATGAGGATCTTTTACATGCCGTAAATCTACGACATGGGACCCACGGCTTAAAGTCCCTCCCAGAGGACTTGTTCCCTGAATTTTTCCGCCCTTAAAAATTCCACGACCTCCGCCGGGTTTGAACCCGCGTATCTTGAGTCATGAGGTGGGAATGTTACTCCTGGACTACGGAGGCCACTTGGTCTGAGGGTAGGTTTTCGTTTTCTTCTTACAAAACCACCACCACATTTCAGGTATGTAAAATTGCAAGGAACTCATTTTGAAATTGTCTGAACTCCAAATTTAAGTACACCCTTCAATACTTGTAGATTCTTAAGAGTTCTGATGATGATGGATATCACGCAGAACTACTAGGTTTCTGAACTTTGTCTACTGTTCAGTATTCTAAAAAACTACAGACTGACTGAGGTTACTTGTTTTTAAGAGACCCAACACAGTAGGTGTCCCTTCCCTCACCTGAGAAAGAAACATCCAGTTTCCGAAACACTGTATTCTCTAGTTTTTTAGAATGCTCGATGATGGACAAGATCCAAAAACCCAGTAATTCCTTTGATGCTTGTTTGTTAACACACCACTCAATCAGAAGTTTAATTATTTCAGAATATTATTTGTTCACATTACATTGCAGTTCTTTAGCAGCAAAGAAATATAGTGTCCTTTAATAGTAAGTTCTTCTCTGATTGTGACACACAGAGTTGGGAGTCTCTGGACTGTGCCTCGTCCACTTTCACGCCAGACATCACACCTCTGATCCTTGCAGCACACACAAACAATTATGAGATCCTCAAGATTCTGCTGGACCGTGGTGCCACATTGCCCATGCCACATGACGTAAGGTAAGAACATGCAAACAACAACGCACTGTTTGCATGTGAATCTAACAGGCTCAAACCAGGTTAATTGTTGGGAAAAAGCAAATAATTTAGAATTAGAGAAGCAGAGGTCAGATGGGTGTGAATGGCACTGAAACACCAAACAATTCTACATTTTTCTGTAAAAAATGGGGCAATAACCACTTCTCATTAAGAGAAGAGAGAAAATGAAGTTGGGAGGGTAGTTTTTCTTTGTGTGATACTGCTGTTTTGAAAAAGCATGCCAAAAATGCAGATGCAAGCCATGACACAGAGGACAGTTTCTATATGGAACTACAATGTTAAGTGGATTCATATGGCTCAAAATGGGTTCCAGCAACAGCCTCTTGTGAGTATGATAATGAACCTTTTTGTTCCATAAAATATGGGTTTCTTGACTGCTTCTTTTAAGGACTCTGTTTCATGCAGTTTGTTACATACAGATTTACCAGAGAAAGGCCTATTGAAATCAACGGTAAACTGAAAATATTATCACAGGAATCCTATTTCTTAGATGCCACCTGATCCCACATGGATATCTTCTATGTTGAAACGGGAAACTAACCTTCAAAATCTTCACAAACTGAGTCAGTTTCTACCATAAATGCTGACTACAAATATTCACATCAAAATATTACCAATACTTGCAGAATAGGCATGATACACTAAAACAAAAGACTACAACATAATTTAGGTTCTTCTAATGTGTTAATTGTTTCCAATTTGTTGCTATGGCAGCCAAAAATTGCTAATTTCAGAGAATTCACTCACTGTTATAAAACTTGTTTACAAATATATGACCCAAATATATACAAAACACTTCTTCATGCATATTACTAATTTAGTAAATAGCTCATTAATCAACTTTTACACTGTGCTTTATGCATTATTTTTTCTCTCATATGTTCTGTATTAAACTGAGAAAATCTGAAATTAGGTGATGTTATCTTAAGCAACATAAGGATTTCTAAACAGACAGGTAGCAACACCATGATTAGAATGTAAATCAATGTGTTGACATTCAGACTCTGTAATCTGGAAAGTGGATACCGACGTTTCAAAGGAACATACTGCCTCCATCCTAGGGCACCTTGATATATCATAACTGCTAACATCATATCTGAACACCATGAATGCTGTGAAAACCTGAAATCTCATGTGTTGGCAGATGTGCATGTGATGAATGTGTACTATCAAATGAAATGGACTCGCTGAGGCACTCTCAATCAAGAATCAATGCTTACCGTGCACTCACGTCTCCTTCGTTAATATCACTGTCATCTAGAGATCCTTTACTGACAGCTTTTGAATTATCATGGGAGTTAAGAAAACTCAGCCGAGTGGAAAATCAATTCAGTGATGAATATAACGTAAGTAAAGGCTCTTATGTTTAAGTAAACTGAACATAACTATCCTAACACAGTGTGACTCTGACAAGCAGTAAATTTATTATACATTGCAGGCCATGCGGTCACAGTGCCAAGAGTTTGCGACTGCACTTCTAGATCACATTCGTACTTCTCTCGAGCTCGAAGTAGTGCTAAACCATGATCCTGACGGAGAATACTGGGAACCTGGGGAGAGACAGACTTTGGAAAGACTGAAACTGGCCATCAAATACAAACAAAAGCAAGCAAGTAACAATGCCCAAGAACAGTTTGCTGAGTAGTTAAAGTATGTGAAAAAAATATTATTACAAAAATTTAGAATACTGACTTAATGTATTTTGAACTTTGTTCCAATGCTACTGAAAATTCATTATGCACACAATTTTGGGCTACTGTGTGTTCTAACTGAATTAAGGTACTTGATTTCAGGTTTACCTTCATGTTCCCAATACACAGTCGTAGTGAAGTGCTTAACTACAAGAATGTCTTTGCCCTTTTTTATAGCCTGCTTTGTTTCTTAGAGAAAAGGAGGAGGCTTATGTAATCATCATGCTGTCTGTGTATCTCCAGCTTTCATTTATGATATTTGGTATAAATGTTATATTTTGCTTCTTTCAGTTTGTAGCTCATCCCAATGTACAACAGCTATTGGCTGCCATCTGGTATGAAGGATTACCAGGTTTTCGCCGTAAGAGCATAGCAAGCCAACTTTTAGAAGTGGCAAAACTTGGTGCAATGTTTCCTGTATACAGCACCATTTATATGCTAGCACCTACATCTAAAATGGGCATGTTCATGAAGAAGCCGTTTGTCAAATTCATCTGTCATTCATCATCGTATGCCTTCTTCCTCAGTGAGTACAATCAAGCAACAATTTTAAAATAGTTACTGACATGTGAAACTGCATGTCAAATTTTGTGCATTCGAATCAGATTATTATTATTATTTTTATTATTATGACAACACATGCAGGCCACGTTCTGCATTTTTCAATGTTAATATCAAAGGCTGCCAACCCCATAGTAACATAATCCCCTATTTCTGTACAATAAATGTTAATGATACTTTAACTGCAATGTTAATGGTAGGATGGTCACACCTGATGAAGTTGAAAGCATATAGCAATAAGCAATCATGGTCCATTCTAATGCACTACCCAGATTAAATAGATAAGCACCACACCATGAAGTTGAAGGGGGAGTGGATGTACAGACCCATATTTTCTAGACCTCAGCACTAATTGGAGGTAAGTGGTCAGCTTCATGTCCCTGCCGCTTTAGCCCCAAGGAAAGAGCCCCCAGTAAACATTGGATAGGAGGCTGGGTGGGCCTCAGAGCCAGTCTGGACAACATGGAGAGTTGAAAATTCTTGCCCTCATCAGGACTCGAACTCCGACCCCTCAGTCGTTCAGCCCATAACCAGTCACTATATCGACTGCACTATCCCATCTCTTCCTACTGTACTATGCAAGAATTTTATTGGGCGGACTGGGTACACCCACCGAGGCCTCAGCCATTTCAGATTCATGATTTCAACAGAAAATTATCTTTCAAGCTGATAATGATAGTAAAATCAGCCCAAATAAGGAGGAGAGGGAGAGATGGGGGGTGCGTGCATGTGTGTACATGATCAGGGAGGATGATAAGGGGAAAAGCAGCAGCAAGAAGTAGACAAAGGGGAAATCAACATGCAGACAGCACTTAGTTGATAAATAAGGTTTTGTGAGTTCAGTAACTTGTCATGCTGACTGTGAACAGTGTTGCTGAGTCTTGCATCTCAGAGAGTGGAGTTCCTCGTCATAGAATGGTTTGGAACACCCTGGATGAAGTCAGTCCTTGAAGACTGGAAGCGAAAAGAGCGGGGCTCACTTCCAGGGCCCATTGAATACTGCATTATCTTCTATGTCATAAGTAAGAATACAATGAAATATAATTAGAGATAAGTACAGAATAGACATAGTAAGTGACAAGCCATTTGACTATAATTCCGTTAGTTATGACAGTCCACTGCTCTTTTGTTAATGGAATTCAGTAGAAAACAAAAAGGCCTACACAGAAAGGACCAAGTTTGATACAAGTATTGTGTTCTTGGACATTATCCATCATCTTGTCTATTTTTAAAAAAACATACTCTTTCTTTTTCAAAACACAACATTCTGGAGAGAATCCAGTCTCCTAAACGTTTTGAAAAAGAAACAGGACTATTTTTTTAAAAATAGACAAGATGATGGATAATGTCCAAAAACATAATACTTGTAGCAATATTGTTGAAATTTAGCATCCTCTTGCACTGATTCGTATCCATAATGTGTATATATTAACCGTCTTTTAGTGCATACAATTTCACTTGTCACTTCACACTACATGTTTCGGCATCATTCTGCCATCCTCAAGCAATATACTATCGTCACAAACTTTTAGATCTAATTACCAAGTTTGATGTTGGGAATATCTTCCACCACCAACCCCCAAAATTCTAATATACCTAATATTATGTAAGCTACATAGAAGATATATTTGGATCATTCACGCACCTCTTCAGCAGTAACTTCTGGCATGCCTGAAAATCTCTTATGCATTCAGAAATCCATTTTTATTTGGTATAATAAAGTAAGTTTGCTGAGATATTGCAGTAGAAATGTAAGACAATCTCTAAAATCAGTGTACTTCTATAATAATCTTTATATAACTTGAAAGTAACCAATGAATTAAAATAATATTAATTCTTCAAACTACCACTGGCAGAAAAGGATGTTTCTGATTTACTGGTACCTTCTACTATAATGGACAAATTATTTAATAACAACAACTTGTAATTATTTATTATGACACAGGTTTGATATGGAGCGAAGTACGATCTTTGTGGACTGATGGTCTTCTTGAATATATCAGTGACCTGTGGAACATAGTCGACTTCATCACAAATGCCTTCTATTTGATATGGATCAGCCTGCGGTTTGCATCATGGTACATTGTACAGGTATATAGATCTGAAGGGAAAGTGATACACCTCACAATTTATGGCCCTTGATATATGAATGTCTGTACAAATTTGTATCAACATTAATGACTTCCAAGCAAGCACACCCAGAGACATCAAGAAGTCACTGAGCACGGTTTATATTTCTGTGCCATCTACCTTAGTTTGCAGCAATAAGCCTGATTAATGTGTAATACAGTGGAGCCTCGCTTAATGAGCAACTCTCGTAACGAGTAATTCGCATAATGAGCAAAACAAATTGTAAAGGGATGACTCGCTTAACGAGCGACGTTTCGCATAACGAGTGACGAGAGGGGAAATCCCGGATTGTGCGCTTGCTACATCAGTCTGTGTTTAGCATTCGTTCCGCTAGCATCTTAGTGTCGCTTGTGATCACACATTTTTCCAAACTTGTGTTCAGACATATTATTTGTGATTTCTTTTTGCAAAGTTTAATAACCCTTGCAAAAATGTCCCCGAATAAAAAGCCGCAAAAAGATAGCCCCACAAGAGAATAAAAATAACCGTAGAAATGAAACGTAAAATCATTGAAAAGCGAGAACGAGGTGTGAGCGTGGCTGATCTAGCACGCACATACAATCGGTCTACTATCCTCAAGAACAAGGACAAGATTAAGGAGACAGACGCTTCACAGGGAGTGACACGAATATCTACGCAACGGTTACGTATTCTCGACAATGTTGAAAGGTTGCTCCTCATGTGGATAAACGAAAAGCAATTGCAAGGCGACACTATTAACGAGAACATCACTTGTGAGAAGGCAAAAGTGATTTTCGCCGACCTCGTTAAGAAGACGCCAGGGTCATCAACGGCCGAAGAAGAAGCATTTAAGGGAAGCCATGGGTGGTTCGAGAAGTTTATGAGAAGAACCGGCATCCAAATTTTCACCCATTTCACCAAATTTTGAAGCGTCTGCAAAAACAGATGTCTGTAGACAGCTTTCTAGTAAAAAAGAATTAGATATGTATCAAATAATAAACTAATTATTTCGATATTTTTGTTTTCTGCAAATCGAATTCGCATTCCAGGTTGGTTCATTCCGCATAGAAGAAACGATGAAGATGACGCTCCTTAACAATGTATATATAATTNTGAGAAGAACCGGCATCCAAATTTTCACCCATTTCACCAAATTTTGAAGCGTCTGCAAAAACAGATGTCTGTAGACAGCTTTCTAGTAAAAAAGAATTAGATATGTATCAAATAATAAACTAATTATTTCGATATTTTTGTTTTCTGCAAATCGAATTCGCATTCCAGGTTGGTTCATTCCGCATAGAAGAAACGATGAAGATGACGCTCCTTAACAATGTATATATAATTTTCTTTGAATAAACGTTATACATAAAATTTTTTGAGTATTTTTTTCGGCATGGAACGCATTATCGTATTTTACATTAATTTATATGGGAAAAATTGTTTCGCTTAATGAGTGTTTCGCATTACGAATAAGATTATGGAACGAATTATGCTCGTTAAGCGAGGTTCCACTGTACTTTTATTAGGTACTTCTTCCGTTCAAATACAATTTTTAAACGAGGGAACCTCAAATCTGGCAGGTGAAATTAACTTTATTATCTGTATCTTTCATGTTGTTATAGACAGAGTATCTGCAAGGAAGAAATCCCTGGTACCCCCGGGAGCAATGGGACCCTTATGATCCGATGTTACTCTCAGAAGGTGCCTTTGCAGCAGGAATGATTTTCAGGTCAGTAAATGAGGGACACACACACACACAAACTTGCCAATGTTGTTGTGTCTGTATTTCCAGTACTGGAATTCTATAAGTGTTACAATTACAAAATTAAACAAATTAACAAAAGTTCAGCTGGGAAATGAGGGACTCCTGGTGCTGATTATACATTTGAGCATGCTTCTGCTTTTCTGTGGAATAACTGTCATGTCTGATTATTTTGACTCAACACAATTAAATACAAAACCAGTTAGTGTAAGTACTTCACTAAACATGACCCTGTTATTTGAAAAGTAATTTTAAACTTGTTGATTTCACCACAGCTTACAGAGTTACTTATAATCACTGTGAAACCTATGACTTGCAGTATGCTTCAAAATGTTATTTCATGCACAGAGAAATGGTAATTCACTTCAATTTCAGGATTTTGCAATGACTGCAGGTATGCCATGGATGAGCTGAATTCCACCAGACTTTCCATTGCCTACTGTATTCAGAACATAGGTTTCTCTTCCAAAATTTTCACTTGACTTCATTTATTTCTTGTAGAAATAAATAATTTTTTTCTTTTCTTTCAATCTAGCTCCAAATTAAAGCATGTGACATACTGACTCACTTCAACAGAAGCTTTGGCTGTCTTGATAAAGAAAGTAGTAACATTATGTCTTGTGTCCTGAACATTAATGCTTGTGATGTGTGCTACTTACTAGCCATTTTGCATGCCGCTTATTTTATGACATGTCATGTATTCTCTGCCTGTAGTTTAAACTGTGTCCATCTGTCTGTTCACATTTCATCTCCAAAACTAATCAATGGATTTTAATTAAATTTGGGACTCAAGATCTGCATTTTAAATTGTCAACAATTTAACTTTGGTTTGTTATATTACCTCCACTGAGCACTTTACAATGAATAATTTGTGTATACCTTCTACAGAACTTCTTGTCTCTACGATGTCTGCATCTGTACTGGCATGAAGGAAGATGTCTATTTATTAATAGACATAATAGCAAACAAAGAGTTTCAGAAAGGAGGTCAATAAATGAAATTGGTCATCATGTCTGACCGCTTCTGTGATCTAGTGGTCAGCGTTCCTGGCTACAGATCCAGAGGTCTGGGTTCGATTCCCAGAGCTACCAGATTTTTTCGGAGAAGTAGTGGGTCTGGAACGGGGCCCACTCAGCCTCGTGATGATAACTGAGGAGCTATTTCAAGGAAATAGCGGCTCCGGTCTAGAAAACCGAAATTAACGGCCTTCGGGATTCATTGCGCTGACCATGCAACACCCTCTATCTGCTAAAGTTGGCACTAACTTTGCTGACAAGCGGCGGTCACTCGGTCGGTATAGTTCGCTTGCAGACTAAAATCATGGAGTTTGTTTTGTCTGACATACTGGTATATGTATCTATTAAGGTATGTCAAACTACTTAACCAAAATTAGGTACTATGATCAAACAAAATGATATTTTGATTTTTAATTTAGACATACACTTTTTGTGCAGATTGTCATTTAATGTTCTGTTCTTTACATAGATCTAGCTAGGCTCTTTCAAGGCAAGAGTAGGGGCACACTACTTCAGCTTGCTAGCACATGCTGTCATACTTGGAACTGTTTAGGCCTTCGTTGCATTTTCAATTGCATGTCATGTAACAATTGTGATGACTCAAATGCATGGCTTGCCTGATCTGTTTGCAGTTACATGAAGCTGGTGCACATATTCAGTGTGAATCCTCACCTGGGACCTCTCCAGATCTCGCTTGGTCGAATGATTATTGATATTCTTAAGTTTTTCTTCATCTACTCCTTAGTTCTCTTTGCATTTGGCTGTGGTGAGTGACTTTTAATATGCAAAGGAGAATTTCATAATTTGTTCTTTTCATCAAGTATTACTAAGATTATGGCGTTGAGGATAAGATGGGTGGGGCTTGCAGCAAGCATTGGAATAATAAGAAATATGTTCAGAGTTTTAGTATAAAAACCTTTAGGGGAGAAACTACTCTACAGCCCAAGCACAGATAGAGGAAACTATTAAAATGGATCTTGAATAACATAAGATGACAGCATGCAGATTGGATTCATATGGCTCAGGAGAGGAAACAGTAGTGGACACTTGTGAACATGGTTTTGAATCTTTAGTTTCTAACAAATATCAGGGATAAGTCTTAACTATCTAAGCAACTATTAGCTTCTAAATCACTTTATCCCATGAAGTCTGGGAGGATGAGCAGATGTTTATACAGTTCCTTACTAATAAAACAAATGCAGAGCTTGGATACTGATAGTTATTATTATGACTAGTCTTCTGGGATGTGATATCGCCTAGTTTGGTAGGCAGTGCTCATCTGTCTTCAACTGTTTGTCTCACAGGGATGAATCAGTTGCTTTGGTACTACGCAGACCTCGAGAAAAGAAAGTGTTATCACAGACCAGATGGACTGGCAGACTTTGATAACGAAGACAAAGCTTGCTCTATTTGGAGACGGTTTGCAAAGTAAGAAAATATTTGATAAGTGAATCAGCTTTAATTAAACAAGGTCCCTTCCTACATCTGTAGGGTTAACTGTTAGAAACTTACATCACACAAGTTGCCAGTGAAGCTGGCCACCTGTTGTTCCGTCCCTTCAACTCATGAGAGTTCTGGTTTCCACAGAAGTGGAGATTCCTATGTACATGCATGGGACAGATGAGAATTGCATATACACTTTTGGTTGCAAAACCTGAAGGGAAGAGACCACTACTCATACATGAGACAGGACAATATTAAAATGGATCTTACATAGATAGGATGGGAGGATATGGACCAGATAGATATCTATGGTTGATAATGGGGACCAGCAGAAGGCTCCTGTGAAACTGGTAATAGGCCTTCCTGTTCCATTAGAAACTGGGAGGTTTTTGAGTGGCTGAGTAACTAGCAGCTACTCAAGAATCACTCCAAGGGGTAAGTTAATTCCTGCCACCTACACTTAGCTCTAGCAAGTAACTTCTTTCCTCCACATTTTCTGATTAAAATTTTGTATGCATGAAAGTAAACAGATATTATACCATGAAATGTACCTAATGATATCAAGCAAGGGCGATTTTATGTCCTTAATCACAGTGGCTGGTTCATGACATCAAAATGAACCAATAAATATGATAAAAATGTGTGTATTATGAAGCATATAAATTAGAATCCACTTGTGATAGAACCTTCATAATGAGAAACTGCAAAAATTACCTCCAGCTTGTCCACATATAACAGATTTTAATGATGGTTCATGTCGGAGAATTTTAATAAAATTTGTTGAAATATTTCAATTTTGACTGAAACTGGGCAAAGCTACTGAACACTTTACATCATGATCTATATACATATCTATCCTCATATGCAATGGGACTCACTAAATATTTACCAGAATGAGAAATGTTCCAAATAAACATTACAGAGAAAAATTAAACTCGCATTTTATGTCCTATGAATTTTTCTGTATAACTTACAGCTTTTGAAATAATTATACAGAAGGTATTTTATAAGGTGTCTTCTTGTAACTTGAGAAGACTGGGTGCAGTACAACAGCAAGTGCAACACAACTGTCATGCTGTGTGTTGTACATTCACTAACCTGTTTCACAATGTCTTATTCTTAAATTCAGACATTAACTTTTGAATGTTTGTTCCAGCTTGTTTGAGACATCACAGTCACTATTCTGGGCCGGTTTTGGGTTGGTGGACCTCATGGCATTTGAGCTGAAAGGCATTAAGAGCTTCACAAGATTCTGGGCTTTGCTAATGTTTGGTTCCTACTCAGTGATCAACATTATCGTGCTACTAAACATGCTTATTGCTATGATGTCCAACTCCTACCAGATCATCTCAGTAAGCATTCAACAAACAAAAGCATAATGTCAGTACTAGCATACAGAACTGTGCACATGTTCAAAATAGTTTATTAATCAAGTGAGGACTTGAGGTTCTCATGGCAGTGCCTGGGATGTGATGCTATAGAGGGGGTGAGTTTTCTACCCTGAAGCTAGAGGCAGTAATTCCACTAAAATTTCAGTTAAAGTCTATCAGACTACAAATTGTCATGTGCCAGAGGACAGTAATTTTCCCTCTATTAACCCTTTAAGGCAGAATGGTAACTATATGTAACACCTGCTTTCACATTATAAAAAGTCTGCATTCTGCCATCACAGTGCATTTTGCATGTCACATGATTGAGTCCCTGAAATACTGTGATTTTTATTTAGTATTTTAAAATCTGATTCATGATGGATATAAGTTACATCTCCATAACAAAGACCCAACCAGTTAATGCCGTTTTGGATGAATAATCGCTCTATATTGTGAGAATCATACAAAACACATCCATACATTGTGTGAGCAAAATAAAAGGTTTTTTGATGCTAAGGCAGGTGGCACTTTCTAGCAACCACAGTGATTTAAAGGGATTATGATAAGGATTATTTCAGGGCTGTTTAAAAGAAAGGCCAAAATCTCACTTCAAACAGCTGAATATTTCAGACCTGAAATTTTGACTTGTCCATTAATTTAATGGTTTCCACAGGAACGTTCAGACACAGAATGGAAATTTGCACGCAGCCGTTTGTGGATGAGTTATTTTGAGGAAGGTGACACTGTTCCGCCTCCTTTCAACTTAATTCCTACAACAAAATGTTTGACCAAATATTTGGGCTCCAGAAAAGGCAAAAAAGGATCTGGATCTGTTATGGTCAGTATGGGTTACTCTTACAGTATCTATGTTGCATTCAGTCACTGAATTTTAAAAAAATTCAAATAATCTTGGCCTTCAGTTAGTTAAAAAACGCATTAATGTGTTGGGCTTCGATTATCTAGGGATTAAGGAGAGGAGGAATTTTTACTCTTATATCCATATTGAGGGGGGACACGCAGTATCGTAGTTGGTTGAGGCACTATGCTACAAGCCGGAAGGTCAGGGGTTCAAGGACCGATGAGGTCATTGGATTTTTTTTCAAATGACCTAATCCTTCCAGCCGCACTATGGCCCTTGGGTTGACTCAGCCTCTAACAGAAATGAGTACCAGGAATATTCTTGGGAGTAAAGGGCAGCCAGCGCATAGGGCTGACAACCTTGCCGCCATCTGTGAGCCAATTGTCTAGAAAATGTGGGAACCTCAACATCTCACAACCCTATGGACCTCCATGGCCTGTTACAGGGATAGCTTTACTTACTTATCCATACTGAAGAAACCTAATGTTCACACCAGTGATGAGAACTGGCAGTTTACTATGTATCACATTGAAGTATAAAGAAATGAAGCTATACATACATGACATGTCCAGTGACATTGTCCAATTCCTTAACCTACACACGTGAACCCAGAACATGGTGGTGGCATGTTCCTCTGAAACACTGGTATCCACATATAAAATTCCATGGTACCATAAACCAGAAAACCACAGCCATGCATGAATGAGAGATCAGAAATATACACAAAATTCTGGTTTGAAAACCTGAAGGGAATAGACATCTTGGAAGGCATATGTGTAAATGGAAGGGTAGTATTAATATGGATCTTAAAGAAACAGTGGGAGAGTTTGGACTGGATTCCTCTAGCTCAGGATATTGAGTCCAGTGGTGGATTCTTGTGACTATGGCGATGAACATGTAGATCTCAGAGAGAGGTGGGGAATTTCACAAGCGACTAAGTAACAACCATTAGCTTCTCAAGAAGTACTTGGCTCAATGCTGTTAGTTAAGAATAAACATATAGTGGGGCATCTCAAGCAGGCTTACCATACAGTAAGACACAAGGCTTGATCTCAAGTTATGAAAATCAGTTGGCAGTGATAATGTGATGAAGCATTATAAATTAATATTATCTAGTGAACAGACTTATGCAGCTAAAGGCTTTAGTTTGTATCCTCTTGTGCTGCGTAAGTATGTGATCAGTCATGGCCACGTCACGTCAGTGGTCCACAAATAATGTGCTGTGTAATATTTGTCTAGAGGAAGTCACGCAAGAGAGCAGTAGCAAGACATGAAGCAGTGATGCATATCCTCGTCAGGCGCTATGTCACAGGAGAGACAAGGAAAAGGGATGAGTCGGGTATCACAGAAGATGATGTGATGGAAATCAGACAAGACATCTCTACCCTGAGATATGAACTCATTGATATTTTGAAAAATAACGGTATGAACACACCCAAACTGGATCAGTATGACGTTCAAGGTAGGAAACACATATTTCTTTCTACAGCAATTGTTTTAATAAAGAATTTAATTCCTATGAAAATACATTTAGTTCAAGTTCTCTTGGATGGACGTGACTTCTCAGAACCAAGTAATCATTCTGTTAATGATTGACATGATCAATATTGACAGTCAGACATTTGGTTGAATAAAATTACTTCTTAAGAGACTGGAACAACATGCTGCTTGACACTTTTCAAGAATTATATTAGAATTTACATAAAAGATATCCTGACATTTGTTCTATTTGTGGAAGTGCATAATTTATATATTATGACATAAATTACGTTCTTTTCATACAAATATAAATCACTCCGTCCAATGTGACCTGTAAGTTTTTTACTACATGAAAACTTAACACCTTCATGTAGTAAAAAACTTACAGGTCACATTGGACGGAGTGATTTATATTTGTAGTTGTTAGTGTGATGGACCAGAATGAAACAAATCAAATTCTTTTCATAATTACACACTGTCCATACGATGCAGACACACTTCACTATAAACATCTACACTAGTGTCACTGCTTACATCTGCATATCGCTCTTGTTTGCAGTTCCAGGAAAGAAGAATCGCATAATGGAACGTCGCCTGCAGAAAGGATTCCAGATCGGTTTTGTAGAACGAATTTTAACTGAAGTAATTGAAGATAATAAGGAACCACGAGATGTATTCAGTAAAATTGCCCAAGCCATACACCACCATGGAAGTTCTCAAAGTAAAAAGAAAGACTGGAATGCCATGGTACGCCGCAACACAATAGTGAGAGACCCAATTGGCAGTTCCAGTGTGGCAGATTTGCAAAAATCGCGCCAGAGTATGAAGCAACAAATTGTTAGAAACAACATGACAGCCCTGCTCTCCATGGACGCAGAGAAACTTGTTGAATATAACCCAAAACTCTCAGAAGTCACACCTGCAACTAGAGTAGCATATGCTAAATTCAAGGCAGCCAATCTAGCACATAAACGTGATGACATAGATAATATAGCTGAAGAAAATGTAATAGAAAACAGTAACAACCTTTCAGTTTCTGATGAAATGTCTCAAACTAAAGAAAGCTATGACTGTCATCCAGAAAACAAAATTTCTCAGACAGACATGATAAAACCTGCTTCTATCGCAGGGCCATCTTGTATTGATGTATCTGCCTCATGTTCAACTGCCGTTCATGATGAACTGCCCCCAGGAGACTTGTCAACATGCACTGAAACAAAGCCAGATGAAACAGCAAACTCATCAGTTCATGATGAAGCTTCAACGATTCCAACATTCAACACATCTTTCTCATCAGTCAGAAAGGACTTCAGAACAACAACTCCAATTCAAGAAGAGGATGAGGAAAAAAATGCAGAATATTCAGAAGAAGCAGAAGCCAACTGCGATATGGACATAAACAGAGGGACTTTAGAACCAAATACTACAGAAACTATGTCATTGCAGAAGCCACCGATGAAGACAGGTGGAAAGTCTAAGCTAAGTGGAGAAGTCATTACTGGCTGGCTGTAGTGCAGAAGCACACATATCATGAAAACGAGTTGATTATCATATGTATATCACTCTCATGTACATGATATGTTAGCAGGTGTTTCAACTCCCACATTCAGACAGACTGGTTGTTGTTATACTGAAAGATCTGTTATTTCTTATTCTTTTATTTTCAAATTGATGGCAACAGTTTGGAATCCAGGATTTTTCTGAATACTAGGCTTTACTGAGGTCAAGGAAAGAATCCAGGGATTCCCCTTACATGTCCATCAAGCTCTTACACTTCCTCTCCCAAGTACTTATCTGCACTTTTCTCCAGTCATGCAACCAATCTATTCACAGAAATGCTAAGAGGGATGATGACAAGATAGCATTCACTGGCAACTGGCACATGTCACAGAGGGCTGTAGAGGAGTACAACAGTGAGATGAGAGAGAGAAGCCTGAAGTGCTGTAATTCTCACCATTCATGAGACTTCCTTCTGTGGCCTCAGTACAGTACACTAAGCATCCAAACTCCAAAGCAGCCAACGTAACAGCAAATTTGTCAGTTTAACAACCACCACTCACATGTACTAACACATTCTGTAGCGTCAAATACATGTCAAACATAACATTCATATGACATGGCAATACTGTAAGAGAAATTGCTATATGTAACACGCAATGAAAATTACAAATAAACTAGTAATTTCATATTTCACTATTCCACACTCTTTATAGAGAAAATTCTAATTCACAGCAAAGTAAAGATGCATATAAAATTCTGGTATTCCGAGTGACAGAGTTTTAAATGTCTAAATGCTAGGCTGTGCAACTAAAAAGCAATAAATAAACCAAAGAGCAGTTGACACTCATTTAAAATAAAGGGAAATAAACATCAGGGTGTCAGTTACATGACACCTTCCAAAGTTCTGTCCTAACCGCTTCCATCAGCCAGATACATCCCACTCTACACATTACTGCATGAAAATGGCACATCCTTAATATAAGTTCTTCTGATACACACACACACACACACACACACACATATATATATATATATATAGTCATGTGATAGTGACTAGACACAGGGTTTGGATTGTTTACTGAATTTATTGAATGCCTATTACTCATAAGTACAAATAATTACAACATTCTCACTATTCTACAAAATCTATAACTAAATGCTGTTTCTTCACTACTCGTTGCTTGGTAGAGTTTCCAACAGTGGGGATTCTCCGTGCTGGCTGACGACTGACTGCTAACAATAAATCTAGTCCCACTCGTCCTCCTTACATAATTTTGGGTACGCTCAATAGAAAATACCGCCTCCATTAGCTCCTCTATTGTTGTGTGTATTGACTGCTGTGGGAACGTGTTCACTGAGCCGTTGCCTAGCAACAGATGTCTCTGCGATGCTGCTTTGACTCCACCATTCCAGCTCTCAGGTGCCATGTCACTGTATATATAAACACAGGGAGAGGAAGAAAGTACAAGTTTCATGCCCAAACAAAACAATGGGTAAAATTGTATTTAGTCCTTCCTCTTAAGATTACAAAGTTTATACAAAACAGTTCCCTATACTGTGAAGAGAAGCAAAAACATCCATAGAAATCAGTAAATCAATTGTCATCATGGTGTCAAAGAATCATATGCTGATGAAACCACCGTTACCTGTTGGCCATTACTCAATGTTACAGCAGAGCACAATAAATCTGTGGGTCATAACGTTCCCAATCCTGCAATGATATGTTTGCTGCAGGTTGGCCAAATGTGGCTGGTTGGAGTGCCATTAAGATCAACAGACAGGATACAAACAGAATGCACAAACCTACCTGTGGATACTCTGCTTAACACCTTCTCTCTGTACAGTGTGCACAAAATGAACACACATCAGACTGACCATGTCTGTCTGGCCATCTGTCTACATTTCAGCTCACAAACCAATGGGCAAATTTTGACAAAATTTTGTATAGACATTATGGCACTAGAGGCTAACCCAAAGTCATACTTTTTAAAATCAGTAATACCAACATGACAAATGCATGAATTTATAAGGTGGGAGTGACACTATTGACACTGAATAGAGGGTCATGAAATTATGTATGGGAACATATTTCTGAAAAAATTGCAAGATTTCTTGGGGCACTCCTCATTTCAAAACATAAGACAGGAAAAATGTGTCTGCATGAAATCTATATTCAGCTTCTGGTATGACAGCAATAGCCAAAGAACCACTGGAGTTGGGCATGTGAAATCTGATAATGTGGATAAACCACACATGTTTGCCAATGTACAGTAACTGACTTGTCCTATATCATGTAACAATGATCTATAGCAATGCTGTCCAACGTTCTTATGTACTCGGGCACAATTCACTGATGCCTATGGAGATGCGGGCGCCACCACACACTACTACTACTACTACTACTACTACTACTACTACTAGTAGTCCTTCTACTACTACTACTAATAATAATAATAAAATTTTTCGAAAATATTTAACAGTACTCAGACATTCAAAAATGTCTCTTGTCTTACAATTTGAATTAATATTAAAAATCGGCTCAATTATATGTGGAGGGTGCCAGAAAAATATACCATGGGCGCCGCATTGGACAGGGCTGATCTATAGAGACGAAATAAAAAGTAAAAAAAAATAAGTAAAGCTATCCCTGTACCGGGCCGTGAAGGCCCATAGGGTTGTGAGATGTTGAGTGTCCCACCTATCTAGATGATCGGCTCAAAGATGGCGGTAAGGTTGTCAGCCTTGCGCGCTGGCCGCGCTTTACTCCCCAGGAAAATTATTTAATTAATTCCTGGTACTCATTTATATTAGAGGCTGAGTAAACCCCAGGGCCTAGTGCAGTTGGAAGGATTAGGTCAACTGAAAAAAATCCAATGACCTCATCGGGACAAAATAAATAAATAAGTAAATATAAATTCTGTATTAAATACTGTTTCTAACTCAACAGTTAAAATCATGGTGATGATGTAAATTTGATATAATGTGTGAAAAATTTATCAGGGTGCAGCATAAACATCATATTTTAAAGCTGTAGGTCAACATAGCTTGTTAGCATGTTCATGAGACTAATCTGTGACAGCTAGGAGCATTAGGAAACTGTCTGTACTCTGATATGGATGTCAGCTTTCCAGTCACTTTTAACTTCATGATCCCATATTTCTTCTAACAATCTTAAGGAGTGGACAGTTATTACCATAGCAACTATTATTGAAATACAGTACACAGTACACCAAAAGGTATAACAAATGTCAAAAGCCTGAAAATGTGGCTGAGAAATCAACAGCAATTTAGCAGTTTTAATCATTAAAATTTAATGTCAAAGCAATGGGCCAATGGACTCAAAGCCAAAGATGAATACTATGCCCATGTGAAGGCTTTATAATAGCACTTACCTGAAGAAACAAAAGAACAACAAGATATCTTGGTCTGACTTTTAGGACAAATTCCCAGATAGCAAAATATAGCCATAAAGTTTGGTCAGCGCGCACTTATTTATAGAGGCTGCTTGATGGGAAGATAATAGTGAAAGGTGAGTAGTTAAGAGATTTGAAAGGAGGAAGTCGTGGACTATTTCAAGAACTGCCCTTGAAGACACTAGGAAAAACCACAAAAAACTTCATATGAGAGAGCTGGAAAGCCAGCCAAGATTCAAACCTAATACCTCCAATATACAAGAATATAATGCTGGCACTATACCAAAATGGTTGCAGAACTGTTTACATTTTTCATAAACTACAAAGTATTAAAATTAATATAAAATATTTATTTTTGTTGTATTTCTTCTGGAACTAGATTACATATTTATGGGGAAAAATAAATGCACAGAGAACAAAACATATTCAATTTACAACTTCCTATTTAAGTTCTCTCTTTCCTTTGTATTTGTTTTAAGAGAACCAGATTATACACACCTTAAGTAGAACAATGTGAAACAGGCTGTTGTCCTGTATATGCATGTTCTTAATCGAGTTATGGTAATGCCACTTACCACAGACCTACGCTACAGAAGCCATGAGCAGTTAATGCAATAGAGTGAGGTATAAAACGCATAGTTTCTTATTTCAAGCCCCACAAATCCTCTGTGTTTTCGCAGGTGGCATGTGCGTCGCATAGTGCTGCCACCTTCTGTTTTTCTTGAGATCTGGCAAAGAGAAAGATATTGGTAAGTTCTGTTCAGTTACCTAAATTTGAATGTTACAAACATTTTGAAAAAAAAAAATATTAAACCAAGCTCAGATGAATTAACAACACTGCTTGGTGTTGAAGGAACCTAGAAAATATTAAAATATTTGTCATTTTTAACTTTATGTTACCCTTAACTTCACACATTTCGACCCATCTCAACACACTTCTACACAGCTTTCTTGCTGTCAGACAATATGCCAAACATAAATTAAATTTCGAGATTTATTAGATTTGTCAAAGTTGTGTAATGAAACCTGTAGTGTGTTCCTTGAAAAGTTGATAGTTGCTCACCTTTTATGCAACCTGAGAGCTCACTATGTTCAAAAAGGCCCTTCAGTGAACCCTATTCTCAGCACTCAAATCCATCGACACCATATTCTATAAAATACCTTTTAATATTATCTTCCTATTTATAGCTAATCTTCCAAGTGGTTTTTCTCAGTCAAGTTTTCTAAGCTCTTATGTATTTTCATCTCTCCCATGCATGCCATATGCACCACCCATCTCATCATCCTTCATTTCATTATCCTAATTAGGGGAGCAATACAAATTATGAATCTCCTTGTTGTATAATTTCCTCTCCCTTCTTCTCAGTGCCCTCTCTGTAGCACCCCTAGTCTATGCATGCCCTTCCCTTCAGGTGTGAGATGACAAAGCTTCACACCCATACAGAACATGAAGATTAATCTTCAGATTTTAATACAGCAGACAGGAAGACAAATATTCTGAACTTAATGGTGACAAACATTTCCTGAATTTAATTTGTTCTCAATTTCACAATGAAAATAGTTTTCATTTGTTAATCTCCAAGCACTTGAATTTTGCCACATTTGAACAAATGGCCAATCCAATTCAAGAGCCAAGAGTCTTCATATCAGTGTGCCAGAGCTGGACATGTTATGCCATTCACAAGTGTGGCAGCACTGTTCAAGAACATGCTCTTAAGATATGCAAGGCAGATATCAAAAATCAGCTGCTGCAACTGTAAAAAAAAAAGTGTGAGGTGTGAATATTGTCTCTTTTAATGTACTTCATTACTGAATTTCTTGTCAGAGGTGTCTGTGCCAAGGAGGGACTGTGCTCATCAACATATGCCATCATGGATGACGAGAAGGTCTTGGATGAAGTAAGTTTACAAATTTCCTGACCTTAGTTCTTTATACAGTCAATAACTGTTGTTGTTATTCAACTCCTAAGTGAAGAAAAAAGCTCAACATATATTTCTATGAACCAATGCATCATACAGAACTGATCAAAACAGAAAAAAATATAATATTTTGGGGTGTAGTTAGTTAGTTAGTTAGTTATTGGAGAGGGTGGGTTTCCCCATGCACTTAGACCTGTATTGGTCCATTGTGCTTCCCTCTATGACATTCTACCAGTCTCTGTATCCTACCGGTACTGGTGCTTACCATCAGTCCCGCCCAGCCAGCGAGACCGGCTCTACCAGCTGAGAGGTATCTATAATGCTTCCCCCATCTACAAGAGGTATTAGAGACTGCTGTTGGGCGGGAAACGTCCGTAATTTGGCTCAGTGATCTCCTTTGGAGATATTTTGGGGTGTAACATCATGCATTCTGGTAAAGACCACAAACATTTCCGAGGAATGTATTGCCTCTATCTTCAGAGCTGAAGAGTAAGCAAGAAGCAGGTGACAAATAAAACAGATGCAGCGTGTTCTTCTGAGACATCTGTGGACTTCTACCAGACTACATAGCATCACATCCCAGATGACAATACCCTTCAGAGTGACTACTGTGATAACCTCAAATCCATAATGTAATACTGTTTCCACATATTCCCTTCAGTCATGGCTCTGGACTCTTTTGGTTCATGTTACTGCTCGGACCACTGAAAGACAGGATGGTATCAGGTTTGAAATCACGGACAATGACATATCAGAATTAGTCTGAATTATCAATCCTCTTTGCACTGGCACTACAGCCCCAATGGGGCCTACCTCCATGAACTTCTCCGTTCACTTCGGTTTTTCTAGATCTTATATATTCGGTAGGACTCCTTGGGCGGGTGATCAGCTCATCGCAAGGCCTCTACTGCTACACAAACACAGAAAAACGCACATATACAAACAAAACTTCCATGCCCTGAGTGGGATTCGAAACCACGATCCCGTTTTCAAAGCGAGCGAAGACAGTACATGCCTTAGACCGCTCGGCTACCGTGAATGGCGAAAGATTAAACATTACAGCCTTTTAAATACGAAGCTTTCAAAATATCTAAAATCTGATGTGTTACATTACAGGTGGGCCTCGAAATTGAGGGCCCAGGGATCAGAACAGGTTCCATTGCAATGCCAAATTTGCCCAAGCCGCTTACAATGGAAGAGAAGAAATATCTTCTCGCAGTGGAGAGGGGTGATTTGGCTAATGTCAGAAGGTTAGTAGTTAACTGCATAGTGATCAGAATGATAGGAGTTGGACCCTAAATCAGTGGACATAGCAACACCAGGCACCAGGGCACTTCAACTATATCAACTAACTATGAGCCCCCCACCCGCCTCTCGTGATCTCAGCTAGTTAAAATGTTTCAGCACAGTCACGAAAATATCCACAAAATATTCCCTGGTTGCTGCTAGATTTTCTGAAAGCATCTACATTATATCTTACTGACTTGCTAAAATTGTGTGTTGATACAAAGATATTATAAACAGTTCTTGAGAACTCGACCGAGCGACTGCCGCCTGTTGGCCAAGTTAAGTTCGCTTGCGGACTAAAACCACAGAGTTTGTTTTGTTTTCTTGAGAACTCACTCATCATAGCCTTCAGTGGGACCATGACTCACAGTTTGAGAAACCACTGATTGGCACATGATGTAAATTCAAAACTCACATTAAGAAATGCTGGGTTTTTGGACTTTATCCATCGTCCTGGTTTTTAAGATCTGTTTCCGAAACGTCGTGTTTTCTTAGTTATCTTAAAAACCAGGACGATGGATAAAGTCCAAAAACCCAATATCTCTGTGTGTTATACACCATCGTCAGAATCCTATAGTAACTAACATTAATTTTATCTAGTATGGGACAAGGTAACAAGATACCCATAATGATTACAATGATGATTAATACAACTGTAATGACAACATTAACAATAATCCATCTGACATTAAAATATGCAACCATTTCTCTTGAATTGAATTGAATTTATTTACATTCCGTAAATCCAGTACAGGTGAGACACCATAGGATATGGAACAAGTCAAGTTAGAATACATAGTATCTATACAATAATACAGTAATATTGCAATTAAATGAGGTAAAGACACTTTCAATGATTGGCAGTGGGCAAAACAGAACACTCAATTCTGTAACACATGAAGCAGAACTTCAAGTGCTGCAGGCCACAGAACTCATCTGTACCTCACAGAATTTAAAACTGTGTATAAACAACATATATCATATCATTTGGCCTTGAACAGGAAATATTGGATATCGCAACAGCAGTCAACATGTTAACCACACTGATATGGTTAGTGCAGGGGCTGCAATGTGTTGCAGGATGCTGAAGCTCGCCCACAGGAGAAGACACTTCAACATGAACTGTGTTGATCCCCTAGGGAGGGACGCACTGTCTTTGGCAATTGATGGAGAGAACTTTGAAATGGTGGAGCTGCTGGTTGTCATGGGTGTGGAAACAAAGGATGCGCTACTGCACTCGATTGACGTGGGGTTTGTTGAAGCTGCCGAACTGCTTCTGGAGCATGAGGAACTTATTCATAAAGAGGGAGAGCCTTATGTAAGTCCTTCTTGTGAAAACTGTATTACTCATGCACTTTCTTTGTTGAAAGTATATAATTAAATATACATTGATGACAGTAAAGTATTAAAAAGAGCCTGCACAGCTCAGTTGGTATAGCAATGGGCTGTGGGCAGGGGTTTGATTCCTGGCAAGGACAAGATTTTTCTCTTCTCCATAGCATCGAGACCAGCTATAAGGCCCACCCAATGAGTACCAGGGGCTGTTCCCCTAGAGGTAAAGTGGCCAGGGCGTAAAGCTGACCACTCACCTCCATCTAGTGCGAAGGTCAAGAACGGTGGAACTATACCTGCACTCCCACATATGTCTTCATGACATGGTGCTTAATTAATTAAGCACAGAGACAATTACCAAATTATTATGATTCGTAGTTTTTCCCAAACATTATTAGGCTGATGAACTCAAGGCTGATGGCATAGGCAGGACATGTAGCACAACTTCATAGCATAGACGAAAGGATAATATTAAAATTGATCACAATGAAACAGAGTTTGAGGGTTTTGGCTGGTTTTGACTGCCTAGTCACACACTACTGTAAAAATAATAATAAAATTCCAGCTTCCATAAAGAAGGAGGCTATTTGATTAGCTGAGTATATAATAACTTGGTCAGATGGGGCCATAGAAGGATAAATTTCAGCATCTGTTTTTCTTTAGAGTTGGCAAAAAGCAGACTGGAATACTGCAACTTTCACTCCAGACATCACACCCCTCATACTTGCTGCTCATCGGAACAACTACGAGATCCTCAAGATTTTACTAGACAGGGGTGCAACACTACCAATGCCGCATGATGTAAAGTAAGTAACAATAACATGTAAGCAATTCAGAACCCAGCCAACTGTGACAGTCTGCATGTTGCTCTTCAATCCACATGCTGCTTCTTACCATTCAAGTTCTGTGGCTGAACAACATATCGGGGAATATTCATGATTATGAACAGCAGAATATGTAAATTTTATTCCAGGAAATTTTAACTTATATCCCACAGTTCATATGAGGCTTGCGGAAGTGCAAACCATGGTTTTCTTCAAAATCAGCTCAAGTTACGCACTTTTCGTTCGTTCATAACAAAAAGTTGCAAAAATGCATCTATTATTTTTGACATGCCCACCCAGCCTCCTATCCAATGGGTACTGAGGGCTCTTTCGCCGCAGGTAAAGCAGCCAGGGCAAGTAGCTGACCACTCACCTCCAACTAGTGTTCAGGTCAAGAAAACGTTGATCCATGCATCTACTCCCAATATGTCTTCATAGCGTAGTGTTTAATTAGTTAAACATAAGGACAACTTCGATTTTTCATCTCTTACTTTACGTTTGTGTGTATATATATATGTCAGGCTGTTTGTCTGCATGCAGCAACTGAGAAACCCATTGATTGAATTTTCATGATATGTGATATTGGGCGTTACACTAAAATCTGCTAACATATCCCATTTCTGTTTAAAATCATAAAACAGTAACAGGAGGAATTCTAAACTGAAGCACAGACTTATAAACAAAAAAATATATTTTTTGTTTTGGTAGAGGATATTTTCATTTGAAGGAGAAAGCTCTAGATCGCATCAAGTGGAGGAAGTGTCTTGGAAGAGACTGTGGACCTGTCGTCTTGACAGATTACTGATGAATGAATGAAGTGGAACTCATATCCACAGATTGTCCACACCTTTCAGTTATATCCTACTTATGAAAGGGTACAATTAACTACTGTACAATATTTATTTTATTTAAACGAACAATTAATCCCATGTGTTTCAACTATGACCTGAAGCCTCATTCCCAATCATTCTTTTTAATTACAGGAGTATATTTTATTCACAGGTAAAGAATTGGTACTTCTACTTGTAGTCTGTAAGTTTACAAAAGCTATCACAAAATTACTTCATCTGTCACCAAAATAAAAATGTGATCACATATCAGAGAGGTGGACTGAACACAAATCAGCCAGAAAATTCTTTTGGTCCATGGAATTGATTTCTAATGTATTTCTACAAAAGACCACAACCGCAGAACCAAACAGTGTACAAAAATCCCTGACAGAGGGAGAGAGAGTGTTACAGAGTCAGATCGCACAGAATCCATATATCATTTTGTGACCCACGTCTTTTATGCTCCATTATGTTTGTGTCATAGATGTGGCTGTGATGACTGCATTCGAGAATCTCAGGAAGACTCACTCCGATTCTCTGTGTCTCGTCTGAATGAGTATCGTGCCCTAGCAAGCCCTTCTTTAATTGCTTTGTCATCGAATGATCCCATCCTTACAGCTTTTCAACTATCCTGGGAGCTTCGTAACTTAGCGTTTGCTGAGCAAGAGAGCAAAAGTGATTACATGGCAAGTATAGAATAACCATAAATCATGTATCATTTACTTTATATCATATATATCCATCACTAATGCAACTAGTTATAATCACTTTACTGCTTCAACAATGCAACTACACAGGCTGGGCAATGAATCTACAGTCAAGGGGGCACATATAAGAGAAACGATAAAACTTGACTTGTTCCACATCTGGAGGCTGTATACCCAAATATGGATTTCTAGAACAGATAAAGACATGAATATAAATATGAAACAACACCGCAACTACATCCAAAAACTATACGATTACACAAATACACCCACGCCTTAGGGGCTGCGCAAATTAGTCATGTGGCCGAGTAGATGACACATGCAAGAAGAATGGATGTAACTGATTTTAGCTAAAATTAATTATGATTGACCTATTTTAATTTTTAATTTGATATAGAGACCACTGGGAAGACCAAGGAGTAGGTGGGTGGACAATATTAAAATGGATCTTAGAGAGATAAGATGGGATGGTATGATTGGATTGATCTCGCTCAGGATAGGGACCAGTGGAAGGCTCTTTGTGAATACGGTAATGAACATTCGGGTTCCATAAAATGCTGGGAAGTTCTTGAGTAGTTGCAGATTTGACTTCTCCTCAACAAGGGCTCAGCTCCATGAGTAAGTAAGCAAGCATGAAATTGTTACATACCGTGCAATGCAGCAGTTTTAGTTGTGTACAGCTGAAACATGTTATGAACGAAGAAATGACTACGAGTTGCAATAGTGACGGATACATATTATATGAAATAAATGATATACTGATGCAACAGGATGCTTAAATGTATGTATGTTTGATAGCACCTTCACTCTTATGTAACAGTTCTTCTTAGATTTATTTAGGTTACTCATCTCACACAAGTGGCTCACCTAAAAGCTATCACTTACTTTAATTGCTCTTACAACTATGTTTTATAGTAAGTTATTAATTCAAATTTTAATTGAATTTTATTTATTATTATTATTATCATCTCTTGTCACAGGTTTATTTCCTGGTATTCCTTTTCTTGAACCAGTGATGCACCTCACCACTCAGGCTTCAAGCTTCGCACTGTAGCACTTTCCGTAGTATGTGTGATGTTCCCAAGATAGCTGTTTTTTGCAGTGAATCTATGGAGTGCTTACCAGGAATTAGTTCCAAATATTTTCTCAACCCTCTCGTGACTGTACCTGTGGCTCCAATAATTACTGGTATCACAAAACATTTCATGTTCCACATTCGCTGAATTTTGATGCTTAAATTTTTATATTTTAATTTCTTCTCTGCTTCGTTTTGTACTACATTCCTGTCCGATGGTACTGATACATCTATAAGTATGCAAGTTTTCATTTGCTTGTTTTTAATTATTATGTCTGGCCTGTTTGCCAGAACCTCTCTGTCTGTTTGTACGCCTTGGTTCCATAACACCGTTATATCCTTAAATTGTTCTTATTATTATTATTATTATTATTATATGCGATTTTATGATGTAATAAGTTTGCCTATCTGCAACCTGCAAAATTGAGGTTAACCTATTGTTGCAAATAATGGACTCATACAATTTTGTACATGTATTTTGAAGATTATTTTGATATGTATTTTAAGGACCATTTCCACATCCTGGTTATATACTGTACAGATCTATGGAAAATAAATAAAATGAATGAACAGCACAGTTTACATAGCATCAAGAAAGTAGTATGATTAAGTTATAATAAACTAGAAAGGATGCTGAAAGAAGCAGTCATGACCTACTTCCAAGGAATCTGAGGTATTATCCTGCCATTTGTGTTGCTTCTGAACACAGGAACTCCGACGCCAGTGCCAACAGTTCGCAGTTGACCTTCTGCACCAGTCTCGAAGCTCCCAGGAACTTGCCATTATCCTTAATCATGATCCTGACGCCCCCCCTTATGAACATGGAGAGCATATGAAGCTGGCTCGACTGGAACTGGCCATAAACTACAAACAGAAAAAGGTATGCAACAGCACAGAGTTACTTACTCATGTCTTGAAATATAGTAGATATGACAGCCCTGTCTGCAATGTAGTTTGGTGAACATGAGCCAGTGTTTCACAAGAACTGCTGGCTTCAGCACTCTTGCTTCTTACTCATGAGATTCCAGCTGAGAATATCAGAGACTGGCTATCCCACTGAGTTTTTCATAGTATTTTTCACTTCATCTAGGCAAATCATCATGAAATAACCCAAGGATCAACCAATCCCTTCTCCCAAATGATACAATATGTACACTGTTGCTCTCTGAACCGCTTAGCTTTACTGTATCTGTTCCAGTTCGTTGCTCATCCCAGCATTCAACAGTTACTGGCTACCATTTGGTATGAAGGACTTCCTGGATTCCGCCGCAAGCCTCTGGCACAGAAGCTGATGCAGATATCACAAGTTGCATTACTGTTTCCCTTTTACTGTATGCTCTACATTATTGCACCAAACACACCCACTGGAAAATTAATGAGGAAGCCATTCATGAAATTTCTCATCCATGCATCCTCTTACCTGTTCTTCTTATGTAAGTATCTTCAAATGACATGTTCAGGCCACCTTCACAATTATATGTCAACAACATAAACACAAGAACGAGTTTCTCCACTGTACACTGCAACCAAGCTAGCTGGTGTCCTAGTGAAACCCCACACCTGTACTTGGGAGCTAAGGGTACCAAATCTTTGCCAGCCTACTTGCTGTCCAGACTGAGATATTCATGGTTCTCTTCAGTATATCCCTGAAAATAGTCAACAGGGAAGAAAAAGGTAAAATTAACCATGCACCATACCAGGAAGATGAACAGGAGAATGGAGGTACAGCTCCACCACCATACTTACTTAACCTCAGCACCAGATTGAGGTGAATGGTCATCTTCACGCTCGTGCTCCTTACTTTGAGGGAAATAGCTTTTGGTAACCACTGTATGGGGGGGGTTTGCCTGGGTGAGTGCCAGAGTTGGTCTGCATGTTTCTAAGAGAAAAATCTCTTGCCCTTACCAACAATTGTACCTTGGCCCTCAATCACCCAGCCCATACTAGTCACTACACTGACTAAGATATCTTGGCTCCTGACAGTATGTTCAAACAGGACAAACCTGCCTCCTTCAAAATCCTTATCTATTCATCATTCATGATAATTACCACATTTCATTTGATATTACATAAGCTCTACAGTTAAAAATACAGTGTCCTTAAAACAGCCTATGAACCAACAACCTCTCACTGCAAAGTGTATCTGATAATAGACTGACAGGTTAACTGAGACAATATATACAAATACACACACACACACACACGCTTCACACCACCTTACTGCCCTTACTGCAAATCTGCGATTCAATTGCAGTGATTCTGATCCTGGTATCTCAACGTGCCGAAGTACAAGTGATCCAGATATTTGGAACAGCAAGCATGAGAAAGGCTCTGGCAGAACAGCTTCAGAAACAACGTGGTAATGCTCCCTCACCTCTGGAATGGATTGTTGTGGTTTATGTTCTTGGTACGTACATATTATCTAATGCCAGTTAATATTAAACAATCTGCTTTTCACAATTCCAGTCTCCAGGCAACACTGGCTGTCCCCTGATCAGTCCACATTCCCATTTGTACCAACATCTATATTAAACTGAAAAGTTGCATTCTGCCCACATAACCAGCATTGATAGATTGTGTATGATTCTTATTTCCCTAAATGGCATTAACTACTTTGCCTTTGAAATGAAGGGGCAGGAATTGAATTTCTATATATTATTTAGATAACATGAGGGATTAAAACAGCTAAATCACTTTATCTACTTCCAAATGACCATTTCATCATTTCTGCATCCACAATTCAATTCATTCTTGAATCAATTACAGTCATTAGCATTATATCAAAGAAGAAACTGCAAAAATAGCCCACATTAAAAGTATCGATCTACATGTAACATCTAGCAAAAATCGTAGTTAATATTTACAATTCTGGGATCTATTTATGAATGAAATTTGTAGACATAACCTCATCATTTCCTATTATAACCATATAAATTCAGATTTTACTTTTAATATATAAGAACTGTTTCATACATAATCACTATGGGTATTTATGTTGTATTTCACACAAAATTTCACACACCTAGATGAAATACTCACCTATTTGGTTATCAAACAGAAAATGATAAACACAGACTACCTTCTTGCACTGCCATATTCTTATTATTCAGCCTACATAAAAGTAACCTTGAAAAAGTTCTGTATTTTACAAAGCTTTCTATTACACAAAAATTCAGAAGTATAAATTAAATGTCAGTTTTGTCTTTCATTTTAGAAGAGTCAACATTTTGGTATTTCTGATGCGAGGGAATTAAAATGTATGTGTCATGCTCCTAATCTTAAGACACAACTTCCACCGTTTATGAAAATTAATCAACCAGTTCAAAAGTTGTTAGGGGCCTGTGTGCATACACAGGCAGGCAGATAACGCCATGATAAGAACAAGTAATTAACTAACTCTATGGAGCTTAGTCCTTCTTGAGAAGCCATCAGTTTCTCTGCTACTAAACAACTGACTTGTTCTATATCCAGAGGCTGTATCTCCAAATATGGATTCTCAGAAAAAAATAAACTGATGAAGCTGTAAAAAAGAACCCTAAGGTTCATTACCACCTTCACAGAAACACAACAAACAAATTATACCGAGTTCTTTTTTATCCAGTGAAACTTTCTACATACCATTTCATGCTGTACTGCTCCATTTTTAATAAGGTGCTTATATAATGAATAAAACAATTTCTTTTCCTCAAAGAACCTGTAACTAACTAGCAGATACAACATATACACTATGTTAAAAGGGAACTCTGGAGTCACTGTCGCCATTGAAATTACACTTCAAACTAAATAAAATAAAATATCCTGACCTTGCTCCAACATAGCTACTAAGATATAAAATGGGCTATGATAAAATACAGTAGTATTTACCTAGAGTAAATGAGAAAAACCATGTAAACATGTATTAATTTCCTCAGAAGATATTCATACATTCTGCCAGGGTGGCAGCAGAATAAAGAAGAAACGCTTTATCTTACAGGGTTCATATGGGAGGAAACAATGGAAATCTTTCAGGAGGGAATCCAGAGTTATCTGCGAAATATGTGGAACTTTATTGACTTCACTCGCAACTCACTTTATGTGTCTGTGGCCATCCTCCGTATTGCAGCGTACATACAGCAGACTAGAGAGATTGCTGCTGATCCACGCACGGCTTATATTCCTCGTGAACAATGGGATGACTTTGACCCTCAGCTGATAGCAGAGGGACTCTTTGCTGCAGCCAATGTATTCAGGTAATATCATACAGTGAATTTTAATGAAGGATTTTTCTACAGAATATTCTGCTTCTAGTGTGTAGTTTTGCTTGCTACATTGATAAAAGCTTCATCAAGTTCTATCTTATGCTTTCAGCACTCTAAAGTTGGTTCACCTGTTCTCAATCAATCCCCATCTCGGGCCTCTTCAAATCTCTCTCGGCAGGATGGTCATTGATATTGTAAAATTCTTTTTCATCTATAGCCTCGTCCTTTTTGCATTTGCATGTGGTAAGGTGGTACTCCTGATTTTATTAAAACTTACATCTTAATTAAACCTCAAACACAGTATCTAATGAAGAACTTAGCATTTACTAAAGCAAGGATCCATAAAAACACTAGCAGCAGAAAACAACAGACAATGGGTAATGCAATTAAAGAGAGAAAAGAAGTCCTCTGAGATAGAAAAATAAAATCTTCAAGTTAAAAGGCAATGAAACCCTCCGGACTGGTTGTTTGGATTATAACACCATGTAGTATGGTAGAAAGGGACCAATGATTCAGAAAAAACTGATTGCTTCCATTTCCAAACCAGACTACATAATATCATAACCCAGAGGACAATAATATGAATCCTTGCCATTATGAAAACCGTAGTCTCTTAGATTATATCTTCCTCTGTTATCTTGTTTGGAAGATGACTTGAAAGAAAATGAGGCTTAACACCTGATAAAATGTAAAAGAATAATATGCTTGGTTTCTATGCCCATCTTAAATATATCGCTTTATATTTCTTCTTACTGGCAGTGATCTCTTACCAAACAAAGCTATGATCTGTATCCACCAATAATAACACATGTTATACACAGGTCTACTGTTGCTTGACTGGGCAGTAGATTAGCTGAATTAGTAATCAGCTCTTTGTGCATAATGAAAGCATGAAAATAATGAGAGGTTATTAAATGGAGAAAGCAATGTGTTAAAAGGGGCCAGTCTTCTTCAAGTATGGTACAGTCCTGAAATCTGTCAAGGAAGAGTGAGAGACATCACAAAATCCCACTAGGTAAGCCAGTTTGTCCATCATATAAAACTGAAAGGAAGTTTCTCTCTCACTGCTACATACATAATGCAAGTGAATGGATACTTGCTTCAATAACGAACACTGCTTTTATTAAGAGATGAAGTGTAAAGTTATATGAAGACCTTAATGACTAATTTCATGTATCTGCAGGTTTGAACCAGTTACTATGGTATTTTGCGGAGATGGAAAAGCGAAAGTGCTATCACTTGCCTGGTGGACTGCCTGACTGGGAAAACAATGGTGATGCATGTATGAAGTGGAGGCGATTTGGCAAGTACGTTATTTGCATGATCTGGGTGGCAAGACTTCTCTTCCACCTTCTACAAACTCACGTGCTAAACTTACAACTCTCTTTCCAGAGCCACCAAATCACTTTTTCACCTCATCTCATTTTACCCGTGCTCCTATTGGTTCCATCTGAGCCGCCTTACAGATAATACTCACGCTACCACTGGGTCTTTTGTACCTCCTTTCCAGCCTACTTCATACCTCATTGTTTACACACAGTTGCTCTGCTTGCTGTCTCCTTCTTTCTGGTTTCTACTAACTATTTCTGTTTCATCATGCAGTCTGTTTGAATCATCACAGTCGCTGTTCTGGGCAAGTTTTGGTGGAGTTGGGATCGACAGTTTTGAGCTGACAGGAATAAAAAGCTACACTCGCTTCTGGGGCCTCCTCATGTTCGGTTCATACTCAGTGATCAACGTCATTGTGCTGCTGAACCTGCTCATTGCTATGATGTCTAACTCTTACGCCATGATTGATGTGAGTACTGATGCAATGTGATCTCACACAACAATATTCATTCACAGGAACTCACTCTTAGCTCCTTCTCACAATTTATGCTCTTAAGAACCATTTCAATTTGATCCTCCCAGCTAGTCTTGGTTCCCCCAACATGTATCTTTCCTTCGGATTTTCATGCTCAATTTATGCATTTCTCATCTTTCCCATCCCTCTCCATTTGATTCCCCTTAGTTAGTTAGTTAGTTAGTTATTGGAGAGGGTGGGTTTCCCCATGCACTGAGACCTGTATTGGTCCATTGTGCTTCCCTCTATGATTTCTACCAGTCTCTATATCTTACCGGTACTGGTGCTTACCATCAGTCCCGCCCAGCCAGCGAGACCGGCTCTGCTAGCTGAGAGGTATCTATAATGCTTTCCCCATCTACCAGAGGTATTAGAGACTGCTGTTGGGCGGGAAACGTCCGTTAAAGTGGCTCAGTGTGCTCCTTTGGAGATATGAGGTTCTTTTACGTGCCGTAAAGCTACGACACGGGACCCACGGCTTAAAGTCCCTCCCGGAGGACTTGTTCCCTGAATTTTTCCACCCTTAAAAATTCGACGACCTCCGCCGGGTATTTGAACCCGTGTACTATGAGTCATGAGGTGGGAACGTTACCTCTAGACTACGGAGGCCGCTTTGATCCCCCTTAATCTGAGCACCCTAATATTATCTGCTGAAGGGTGCAGAATACTGTTGAGTACAGTGCATCTTGAATATACAAGAAGCCAATTTTCACCCAAAACTGGTAAATTAAGTATCTCACACCACACAAGTTTCTTCTTAATTTCCACAAATGTTCTCTGGTAACACTGTAGGACTATACTTTAAGAATATACTGTGATACTGACCACAGAATGTTTTTAGAGTTTGGGAAAATAGGATGATTATGTCTTGAATTTTCTCAAAAAGAAGCTTCACGATCAGCCCCACTTAACAGGGCGGTATACACCATTTTCCTCTTCTAATAATATATCAAAGGGAATCGTTCATTGGCTATCATCATTTTAAAAAAGAAGGAAATATGAGAGCACCTTTGTTTTCACAGGAACATTCTGACACTGAATGGAAGTTTGCAAGAACACGTCTCTGGATGAGCTACTTTGAAGAAAGTTCCACTCTCCCACCACCATTCAACATCTTCCCAACACCCAAACTGTTATTTAAAACACTGGGTCTGCGCAAGAAGGACAAACTAAGAAGGATGTCTTCAAAGGTACAAGCTTTTCAATGTGGGAAACAGAAACTGACTATCTTACTATTAATAGCAAGCAGAAATAAGCAGCCTCTCCATTATTATAAAAATGAGTTTATAATTAAACCTACAATCCACCACTCCACAAATATTATTGGAAATCAAAACAATTTGTCATGTCTGAGGTTTTCACAGCAGTAAGGATTCATTCGTATTGAACGCTTCGGAGCATTGACATTTTGTAGTCTAGTACATGGGAATTATCTTTTCAGAGGGATATGCTATATCTATCTACCCTGAAGATGGATGCAGTACGTTACGCCGAAACATTGCAATCCACTTACCAGACTACATAATATCATAATACAGAATATCACAACGTAAATCAGAATAAAATAACTAGATCCATACTATCTATAATATTCAGAAGAATATTAACTATTTTAACTTCAAAATGTCCAAACCAGGGACTAGTATTCAAGCAGAGGAATTTCATCTCATTTATTTAACTTGTAACTGATTCACTAAATTTGAATTGTATCTACATGGCTCTACAAATACCATTTGTCACCAGCTAAGAGAATGGTTTAATGTTGTACAATTTAACATGATATTCCATATGAACTGTGGTTTAATGAAGCTGGCCAAAACAATTAATTACAGCATTAACATGATTATGGGCCAAAAAATTGGGAGGATATGATTCAGACCCTTGTCACAAGTTTGATGGCAAAATGAGGTTCACTTTCCCACAGAAGACCACATTTCCTGCTGGCAGCTTTTGCTTTGCTGTCCACACAACCTGTAAAAAAGAACCTCTTGTAGAAAATAGCATTAGGTAATTAAGATACAATGTAAGATTTGAGGCTTTCATGGCGGTGACTATGAAGAAAGCAGTCTTCTGGGATTTGGCACCGTGTATATGTGGTGTTAACCGACGTTTCGGAGGAACGTATCGCCTCCATCTTCAGGGTAGAAGAAAAAATATAAGAATTCTGCAAGCAAAGAGACCGTGAGAACCGGTAAAAGCAGCACCTCAAACCAGATAATAAGAATTTTGAAGCTTACAAAGTTACAATTACTCTTCTCTGCACCTGCATATTGAACATTTACTATGTGTGGTATTTCTCTGCATCTTAAAACTAACATTTATAAATGCACTTCATATACGAGTATCTTACACTTACAGTATTATGAGTAAGAGTCATGAATTAGAAACCTTTCACTTTTGTGAGTTTTATACTAATTATGTGAATTAAGTCCATGTTTACTCAGCCTCTAACAGAAATGAGTACCAGGAATTAATTAAAAAATTTTCCTGGGGAGTAAAGCGCGGCCGGTGCATAAGGCTGACAACCTCACTGCCATCTGTGAGCCGATTGTCTAGCTAATGTGGGAGCCTCAACGTCTCACAACCCTATGGTCCTTCACTGCCTGGTACAGGGATAGCTTTACTTACTTACTAATTTGGTTAAGGTTCACTGACATCAGACCAAATGTGTCCACACTAACACACAATCATCCAGCTTATATAATGGTCTTGTTCTTCTCAGTCAAATAAAGCATATGTGATATTTGTAGCGCAAGGAACGCCAAGAGAAAGAACGTGACTACCGCTACACAGCTGTAATGAGGGCTTTAGTGTGGCGCTATGTCTCAGCAATGCATCGCCAAGCTGAAGAGAATCCCGTCACGGAGGATGACATCAATGAAGTGAAGGGAGAAATTTCAGCTGCAAAATGTGAACTGCTGGAGGTTCTGCAGTCCAATGGGATGGACATCTCTAAAGCAGATGCCAAGGAGAAGAGTAAACACTTCCATATCTTTGATTTGTTTCATTCTGGTCCATCACACTAACAATTACAAATATAAGTCACTCCGTCCAGTGTGACCTGTAAGTTTATTACTACATGAAAACTTAACACCCTTACATGTTTCGGTCTCTGTGGACCATCTTCAGAGGGCAAACATCACTACAAATAGGAAACCACCATCACATAAGTTGTTTAGACGAAAAGTACATACACTTATATGCTACAATGCATAGTACACAAAATAGAACATTTCACAAACACAGTAGTTTCCTGGGAATGTAAAGTTTTTAAAAAATTATTTAAAATTTCTTGATGCTTATTAAAAATTTGCATGTCAATAATTAAAATTCATAAAACATACAGGCTCATGTTCGTCCTCCCATCGTCCCTCTTGTATGGGGCAGATATTGTGCCACCTGTCTATCTTGATGTGGAGGTTCTTTATATCTTCCAGGATTTGCTCGTGGCTGCAAATGCCAGACACTGATCTTTGAAATACAGATTACTGTACTTAAATCCACACATAACAGCACAATACAACTGGCACTGAATAAATGAATATGCTGTGTTACTTGATTTCAGCTATCCTGGGCAAGAAGATGAAAATTTGGGAGCGTCGCCTCATGAAAGACTTTCATGTGGCTCCGGTCACTGCAGAAGAAGACATGCAACAGGGACCATATGAAGATCCCCCAGAGAATGAGGATTCGTTGGCTCGGTTCAGACGTATCGCAAAGCTCGCTGTTTTAAATTCATCCTCCCACAAGTGGGGTCAACTTTTGGAAGGCATGTGTCAAATGTAAGTCCACCTGCAGTGCCCAAGTTCAGAGGTTCAGAGAGTGAAACAACTGACATTTCAGTGTGGAGATCTACTGACTTAAGTAGTAAACAGCACAAACTTAGTAGATACTGGGAAGTATGGCAACATGCATAAGGGCCCACACACACTGCCGAGACAAGATATTTCTCTTCCACACTGAAGTGAAGGAACATCTATGCTGCAGTTGTCACTATTAAGCAAAAACTATATACCAACTTTGAAAGGCCATGCAGTTATTGTGACAGATGGAGCTGGTGGCTATACAAAATTAGCACTAAAAAGAAAGGGGAAAGGTATAAGGAAAAGGACAGGAAGCAGGAACTGAGATATTTAAGTGAGGATGGGCACAGAATGTGATTATCCTAGCTCTCAATCATGCCACTCACAGTTAGAAGTGGACAGAGGCTAAGCACCAAATCCTTTCACCCCCATATTTTTCAAACACTAGCATAACCACCAAACCAGATTTATTTTGCTTGGCATTTCTTCTTGCTCCCTCAGTTTTCTTTTCTGGAAAAGGCTTGTTACTTAAACTTATATTCTTTGCACACGTACAACAACTCAAATTTTTATAGAAAATACAAAAAAACAAACGTATTCAGTACTGGTGGGAAAAACAAATGAAGCTGGGAGGAAGCACATTCAGAGATGGGGATGGAAGGGTCAGATATCCCCCTAACACAATACGAGCCTTTGGGGGGGGTGGCTTGTCACTGTACATTCTGTGCTCATTACTTTTATTTTACAGCCTTATCTTTCTCATGACAAAATATGAAATCAATGAACAGGAATCATGGCACTGGCAGCCATCTTCTTGATTGCAATGGCCAGATGTGAGGTTAGAGAAGAAGAATTACTTGCTTACTTACTTACTCATGGAGCTGAACCCTTCTGGAGGAGCCGCCAATTCTGCAGCTACTCAAGAATTTCCCAGTATTTTATGCAACCCGAAGGTTCATTACCATGTTCACAAGAGCCCTCCACTGGTACCTATCCTGAGCCAGATCAATCCAACCCATACAATCCCATTCTATCTCTCTAAGATAGATTTTAATATTGTCCACCCACCTACACCTTGGTTTTCCCAGTGGTCTCTTTCCTTCTGGCTTTCCCACCAATATCCTATACGTATTTGACTCCCCCATTCGTGCCACATGCCTGCCCACCTCATCCTCCTTGACTTGATCATTCTAATTATACTTGGAGAAGAGTACAAGTTATGAAGCTCCTCATTGTGCAGTTTTCTCCAGCCTCTCGTCACTTCATCTCTCTTCGGTCCAAATATTCTCAACACCCTCAGTCTATGTTCCTCCTTTAATGTCAGAGACCAAGAAGAAGAAGAAGAAGAAGAATTACAGTCATAAAAATACATGGCTCACAAGGTTGGTCAAGATAACCATTATATCTTGTTACACAGATCTCAAATTGGACGTTGCAACAACCAAGAATCTTACAAGAATCAGCAAAACCTGCAGAAGGCCATGGACCAGGCTCGTAAACTGGTGAACAGCACACCCACCCCTTGTGCCTCTAGAAGAAGCTCACCCATCCCACTCCATAAGACAACAGGTTCATCCTTCATGGAGCTGCTTAAGGACGTCACAAAACAGAGTGGAGAAGGTACAAGCAGTGACAGTAGCATCAACAAGATTTCCCTAAAAGAAGGTATGACAGTGAATCTTAATGTTGTATGTCAAATACATTTGCTTACAGATGGTCTGCACAACTTGCACACACTTTTGTTTCCCATTACATGTGATCTGTTATTTAGGCTATCTTCAGGTGATAATCCACCAGCATTATAGTTACTACTGCTTACAATATGTGAAAATATAAAATTTCCTACCATAACAAGTTATAGTTTCTCCTGTTTCTTTCATAGGGTGTCCTTTGACATAGTACAGATACATAACTCCTATTTTCTGCTCATTTACTGCATACATTTACATACTTCTAGCAATATTCTTTTAAATGTCTATTGAGTTTTCTTACTCTGAACATTATTACAAACTTTGAAGTTATGATTATTAAGCCAATATACTGATATGTTTGTGTTATGAATATTTATTCACACATGATTTTATTAACACATAATTCATTCATCCAATATTCTTAACAGAATAGCGTTTATTGCATTCTGCTGCCTTCCAACCTGCATTAAAAACTGTACTTCAAGTCTCTGCAGACATTTGTGAGTCATTTCATCAAGCACAGATACCATATTTACAGAGAGCAAGTATATTTACTTTCACAGTTTTTGTGGTGTTTATATATACATATGTGTGTCTGTGTTAGTGTGAGACAGCATTTCTTAAATCAAGAATTCATTCTTCTTCGAAGATCATAATTTTCTATGCCTAATTAAGATTAATTTTCCCCATTTTCTTACTGTCACCAGATGAACCATCAACATTCACCTCTTTTTAATTCAGTGGTTAATTTTATTGCTAATCATTTTATTCCTGACTCAAGCATGAAATAACTATGTAAGATTTGAGGCTTTCACGGCGGTGACTATGAAGAAAGCAGTCTTCTGGGATCTGGCGCCGTGTATATGTGGTGTTAACCGACGTTTCGGAGGAACGTATCGCCCCCATCTTCAGGGTTGAAGAAAAAGTATAGGTAAATCTGCAAGCGACAACACCGTGAGACACGGTAAATTAACACCACATATACACGGCGCCAAATCCCAGAAGACTGCTTTCTTCATGAAATAACTAACTTCCTTGCCCTGTAACCAGCCAAGTGGCAGGTCAGAGATGAATCCCCCAACTTAAAATATCGAGGATGTGATAATGCACTGCCTGGTTAGGGTTATCATACATCTCAGGAGGAAGTTACAGATGAATATGGAAGTATGATGGAATGATGATTTGGTGGGGAAAGTCACTTTCAATGTCATTTTGTCCATCATTAATTTTATATAAAAGTCACCAAAGCCTGAACCTGGGCTTCTGTGGCCAGAAGATAGCACCTAACCACCTAATTTATGAAATGACCATGCAAATCAAATTATGCACTTAAGAAAATACTTTATACAACCTTGGAATAATGCTGTGTAATAAAAAAATCTCAGAATTTTCATATGATCCATCTGAATTCCCAAATTGAAGGAAAACTGTCATGTTCACTGGTTTATTTACATTGCAGGAGCTGTACAAAGCAAGCAGGTTTCCTGTTCCACAACACCAGACTTGACACTTGAGAATGCAAAGAGTATCCAGCAGGTTGCTGAGAAACAAGAACTGCCAACAAAATCAGCAAGTAAGCCATCTTGTGGTGTTACAGCAGAAGCTAGACAAACTGAGATGGCGCCATCAGCAAACAATATTTCATCAACTCAGACTACAGCTTCTGATGATTCAGCAAATGTTGACAACCAGTCTCATGAAGATGACAAGGATAAATCTGTGACACCAGAAGGTGGACAGACTGGTGACCCTGAGAAGCCACAAACAGACAACGCAACCACAGTACCTCCTCAACAGCAGAAGGCTAATGATATCAGTGAAGCCAAAGAAAAACCCTCACAATTTAAGGTTAGAATCACCACGCCAGCACCAACTACAGAAGATGACTTTAAGCCAGAAACAAGGACAAGCAAATCTCAACTTGAGGAATCAGAGTCACATCCTCAATTTGAAGACATGCTCAGAAACTCTGAGAACAGTAGCAATGCTAATGTGAGCATGGAGCCTGAAATGATTGGCAGTTCCAGCAGAGAGCAGCTTATAAGTGCCACCACTGATTCTCCAGTACCACTGAGGACTGCGGATGTGAAAACAATTAAACGACAACAAAAAGGGGGTTGGTTATAAAGTAGATATTATGACGCTGCAGAACAGGACACAATCTTGTCTCCTGGGGTGAAATCAGACTGGAAAATTCAGGGTTGTACCGCCATGTAGTCTGGTAGAAGCATATGTATGGACCAGTAAACATTGAACAATGATGGCGTGATCATTAGCAGGGCAAAACTGATTTAACTCAGAGAAAACCCTGCTACAGTGCCATCTTATCTACCAAAACTCTTGCATTCAGTCACTTGGAACTAAACATGGGAATCCTCTGTGACAAGCCAGCACCCAACGAATTGAGCTATGGCACTGCCTACATGATTCAGTAAATGATTACATTTCCAGTTTAATTTGTACGCTGACACAACTACAATGTAATTATGAAGTCACAGGTCATTAACATGTAGAGGTTTGCTACTAACTGAGCTGCAGAGAAGTCAGGTGTATAAAGCGATTCATTGATCTAATAAAGTATTCTGGGCTGCTTTAGAGGGCATCCTCCACATTTCACTCCTTGGGCTATTCATTTTAATGGATTCAGGTACTACCAATTGAGTAACTGAACTAATGGAGCATTTTAAGCAATTATGCTACATTAAAATTTTCACAGAAGCTTTACATTAGACTCATTCTGATCTGCTGTTTCACTCTGAGTGAGATCCTCATCCATGTCACTGATCACTGAGGACCTTGGCTATCCATAAAACAGCCACAGTTAGTCAGCTTTTAAAATCTTTATTATTTACGATGTTTTCTATAACTTGTACTCACTTCACAGATGGAAATGGTGACACTGTTTGCATTGTGTTCTCAGCTAATCAGGTTCATATGGGTAGTGGATGACCACAAAACGTGGACTGATCTTGTGCCATTAACATGAACAGTTGCTATGACATCGAGTGTATGGTCCAGGTCCAGCAAGTTTGAAACTGTTCGTTAAGAATGTGTGCCCTCCCATACCATCCTGCTGCATCATAAGATCCACAAGAAACCTACAACAAATTATTCATCTCCAAACTTGTCTTTACATTGTACATAAAGCAACCAACCAACTTAATTCATGTAGGATTTGAAGTTCTCACAGCGATGGTTATAATGAACTCTGTGTTCTTAGATATCTTGCCATGCAGTCAGGGGAACACCCTGCATTCATCTTCAGGGCCAAGGTAAGCAAGAAACCAGCATGATGCAGGCAGTAAGCAGAGCTCTGTTATCTGCAACATGCAGGGTCTTGCTTGCCTTATTCTTCAACCCTGAAGATGGAGGTTATACATTCCTCTAGAACATCAACCTCCCTCCAGAGTACAAGAAATTATAGCTCAGAAAACCAAAATCTTCAGAAGTGAAAATGTCTGTGTTTGATGATCACAATGATTATAAGTAGGGCCCAGATTTTGATGACCTGAAAATATTTAAAAAATGACCGAAAAAATCCAGAAAAATGACCAAAAATATGATCCAAAAATATAATATGCAGGGCCCGGATTTTTGTGACCTGAAAATATTAAAAAAATGACCGAAAAAATCCAGAAAAATGATCTAAATGAGAAAAGAAAGAACACTTCGCTTCCATGTTATTCACATTTCAGAAAACATATGAAGAAAAATTCCCTAAAATGGCCAAAAATGACAAGAAATACCATTAAAAGTCCAAAAATTTACCAAAAAATTACCCCCAAAATGAAAAAATTACCTTAAACCTAAAAATGTCAAAAAATTACCTATAAAATTTACATTTCTGTAACCAGCAGCTCATATCCGAGATTTATATATTTAAGAGCATTGCATAGGATACAAGGAAAAAAAGATGACATGTCATCAAAATCCGGGTCCTGATTATAAGAATGCAGAACCTTTCTAGGTGTCTCAGCACCCCCTTCCTTACAAAATGACAATGCACTCGCTTTCCTTACACTGTAAAACCTTTACAGTGACCTTTAAAATAGGAATATTTAATTCAGTTCCACTCACTTCATTGAATCATCCACCATGATTCCTTCTTTTGCTGATGTTTCAGTCCAGCCAATGAAATTGTGCTCCTTATACAATTCCTCAATTTCCATTTGGTCAACTTGTCTGTGTTGCAAGTCACACTGTATGGAGAACAGGAAGAAGAATAAGAACAACCTGCCTCCACTCCTCTACCTAACTGCAAAAATTTCTATTCTGTTTCTTGTTACAGTGTTGAATGCTGGGAGTGGACTAACGTGTCCATACACCTTCAGAGTCAAATTAGATTTTGTCACATATCTCACTGCAAAATGCATACATACATACATACATGCATACATACATACACGAAATGATAAATGATATAAACTCCGTCTCAAGTGCAAACAATATATTTTGTGTCTTTGATCTTGCTCCCTACACTACATGTTTCGGCCTCAGACGGCCATCATCAGGTGTATAACACTCACGTCGCTGTCAAATTTGGACAAGAATTTAAAGGTTTAAAATTAGAACTAAAGATTTTATTATGGTGCTATTACAATAAACTCAAAATTAACGTGTGTGAAGTAATCTACGGGTGGACAGCTATCAACGAAGTAGAAGCTGATAATAACAGGGAGAATGTTTTAGATGTTAAATTTTGAACTGGGTGCAGTGTGACAGCGACGTGAGTGTTATACACCTGATGATGGCCGTCTGAGGCCGAAACATGTAGTGTAGGGAGCAAGATCAAAGACACAAAATATATTGTTTGCACTTGAGACGGAGTTTATATCATTTATCGTATGGAGTGCAACAGGATGCTTAAATATAATATTATACACGAAATATTTCAGTCATTATATGAAACAGTTTTTCAGCTTGGTTCAGATTTAATGCCAGAAAAAGTAAATGTATTTATATTTTAAACTGAATCACAAGCTCTAATTGGCTGACAACACTCAAATCCAAACATGTATAAATTCAACATTTATACCAGGGGTTTCCCAAATCAAAGTTTGGCAGAAGTTCAATAATGAAAACAGGCAACAGACAAACAACACGTACCCGCAAAGATAATACTGTGTTAACACTACTTAGTCAATACATCAATCAAGCTCTGAGCTGTCCCACCTTATTTGCTAGAAGCATACATGGAATGGGGCTCCCGTCAGGTAGCCTACACTTCGAGTCAACATCTCTCTTCCACTTCAGACTGTTTATAAATGAGTTGCGGTTTGTCAAGTCGAACATAATCACGCAGCCATGGGAATCCTTATAGTACACTCTGGTCATCCATGTAAACCTTTCTTGACCTGTTGATTTCAAAGAACAGTTCAAAATGTAGTATCCACTTCCAGAACGGGCAAATTCAAGACACTTTTCAACACATGTTAAGATCGATTTAGTATTATCCTTCCATCTGCGCCAAGGTCTCCCAAGTTATCGTTTCATTTTCGGTTTTCCAACTCGAGTCTTATAACCATATTTCACGCATTGCAGCCTCCTTGATTCGATCAAGTCTATAATAATTTGTGAACAGTCCAAATTACAGGATCCTCAGTACGAGGTTGTGTATACCTCCCTCTTGCTTCGAAATATCCTCCTCAGAATCCTGTTATCGAAGAGCCTCACGCTACGTCCTTTCCTTCAGGCAAGATAAAGTTCAAAACCCATAACGAACATGCAAATTTACACTGTGCTCTTACACGTTCTACGGTTATTACCCTACTGCTCCTCTACACTATATTACAGTAAAAAAAGTAAGTAAGTAAGTAAAATGTAAAGCTATCCCTGTAACAGGCCTTGGACGCCAATAGGGTTGTGAGATGTTGAGGTTCCCACATTTTCTAGACAATCGGCTCAGAGATGGCGGCAAGGTTGTCAGCCCTACGCGCCGGCAGGCCGCCCTTTACCCCCAATGATATTTCTCGTACTCATTTCTGTTAGAGGCTGAGTCGACCCCAGGGCCATAGTGCGGCTGGAAGGATTATGTAAATCGAAAAAAAAAAATCCACCGCATCGGGACTCGAACCCGCGATCTTCCGGCTTGTAGCATAGTGCTTCAACCAACTATGCTACTGCGTTTCCCCCTGTATTACAGTACTCCAAACAAAACGAACTTGTGAACTGCTTGATTTTCTAACGTCGACCGATCTCTCTCAGAAATCCTTATTCTAACACTGCACACAATTCCTTACCGGCAATATCCCAGAGCTGCAACTTCGCAGTGCGCGTCTCCGACCACTTCACGACCTTCAGCGCAAAATCAACCCCCACTGTTCCTTTATAATCTCTCTTATACGAATTCTCGACGTATCGCTGCACGAATGACGTCTTGCCCACAGTCGGATCGCCTATGATGATGACTTTAAACAGCTTCTCTGGTGCGGCGGTGATTTCGGAATAGACGGGATCCATTGTCGCATGACCGGCACTGGGTTCAGGTACCAAATGGAACATTCTAGAGATAAGCCCCTCGGAACAGATGTGTCCATAATCGCCTACAACTAGCAGCAGTAATTACGTGTGTCTGCCGGACAGCGGGACTGCGAGCAGCACAAGGCGTCTACTTGACAACGTCGGCCTGAGACTGAACGTGCTGTTTTGCCACACTCGGCTTACTCTTCTAACCCGACGATGGAGACAGAGGGTTCCTTCGAAACTTTGGTGGCGATCTACCACACTGCACGGCTTCACATACCAGAATTTACTTTTCACTTCCTCCTGTTTTAATTAGTATCTGAAACGGTACTTCACCGTCAGCCTAAGTTAGGACGACAAGTATCACAGATGTCACAAAAAATCATGGGCAGACCACCCATCTACCCCTTCCAGGTTTTTGAAAATAAACTGAAATTTAAAAGGAAGAAAATACACTAAATATTAATGCCAGAAATTAAAATTGGTAAAAATACTCTTAAACGTCTTAAGGTCCTTTCACACGGTACACAACGCCACGGACAGACAGTGTTCTGAAGTACGTACAGTACTGCAAAGCGGTATGAGCACATCACCGACAGATACGGTCTGCCATATCATTGCCCTCTGCCACCGTCATGTCGGGTTGCGGTGCAGCAGCGATACAAGGGATGACAGACAAAATATTTCTTAGCTCAGAATGATGCAATATTCTGCTTGCTTTCTGCAGCCTTCAGATTTCGAATCCGCGACTGCTATCTCGTAGGCAGCATAAAACATGCGAGACGAGCAAGTTCGGTCTATCTCCAATTCAAAAACTGAAAGCTTATGGTTTTCACGGCGGGGACTATGAAGAGAGTAGTCTTCTGGGATGTGGCGCCGTGTTCAGTTCAGCGAGTCTCGAATTATGAGATAAAGCATAATGTTTTTTAGCATTACTGGGTTTTTGGACTATGCCCACTGCTCAAAATCCAAAAATCCCAGTAAACGTGTTATGTTATACACCATCGTGAGAACCTTCTAGAACCTACTAATAGTTTTATTTTCCCAGAACCCTAGAGTTTGTTAGAAAAGTGTACTGGGCACGAAGTACATGTTTAATTTTCTCTATAAAGTTTTTATTTGAATATTTTCTCGCTTATAACATTCAAATTCCGTGCAGTAAGACCAAGTCGTGAAGTAAAACTTGCGTTTACTTCTGTCTCACTTTAACCCACTCAAAAATTTTACTACAATTGACAGATACAGAATTACGTCAAAATCTGTTCGACGGTTCCGGAGCCGTCATATGTGGACGGTCAGGCACGGCGTAGCAGGTGGTAGAGGGGCTATTTCCACGGGGTTAAAGCGGCCGAGGCATGAAGCAGATCACTCATATCCACCCAGTGCCGAGGTTAACAATGTATGCAGTTATACCACCATTCCACCCATTCGCCCATCTGGCGAAATAGTGCTGGAGGACCCTGTATGTAGGCGAGAGCAAGTCAAAACATGTCTTACAACGAAATGTTGGCCGCGCCATAGCTCAAGCGGTTAGTCGCTGGTTTCCCACCGCGGCGGCCCGGGTTCGATCCCGGGTCTGGTCAAGTGAGATTTGTGGTGGACAAAGTTGCGCTGGGGCAGGTTTTCTCCTAGTACTTCGGTTTCCCCTGACAATCTTCATTCCACCAACTGCTCCACAATCACCCTCACCTATCATCTGGGGCAGGTACAATAGGCCAGAAGTGGCCGCAGTACAAGGGACTTAGTCCCACTCCACTAGCAATAAAAATGTTGCTCCAATGTAGCACAGACGTGTGTGCAGACTTGTCACAACTTGCTGCGGAACACAAACGTTACTGTACCAAGAAGAGCGGAGCCCACGTTTGGCCTGAACATAAACTACACCGAACGTTTTCGGAGAAATACAGAGTAAAACACGGACCCAAACGCATTTTATTTGTACCGTACTGGAGAAAAGAAAATAAACGGAAAATGCGGAAAACTGCTATCGTTGTTTCTGTCTGAAATGTCTTTGGAATTTCTCAAACATTCAAAAATGTATTCATGTGCTGTTGTCATGTTCATGTCATGTTGTTAAGTTGTTACACCTGCATCTGCACCGAACTTCTAAATAGTGACAATATCCAGTCAGCGAGCGCTGACTTCAGTTGTACGAGTTAACAGACACACACACGTCTTAGAGCGCCAAGTTTTGCGAGTGAATTCTTCTGAAACTGGCGATGTTTTAACGAAAGAGAAATGATAAGCGTAGAGATTAGGAAATGACGAGTAAAGAAGAAGACACACGCCTGGATGTGAGGGAGGCGGTGAAGGCCCGCTCTGATGCCCCAGCCAACAAGCCACCTAGCCTCTATTTCTTATTGCGTTTAAATGCCACCAGACGGTGACGGCTGGGCCGAGAGGCACGTGAGCCCACAGCAGGGGGCGGGATCCCCCGCCACATGGTACCTAGAATGCGGTTTGGCTCGTCTGACAATGGTCTGTTCGTCACCGCTGAGTCAACTGCACATGATCCACAGCAGCCCCGCGAAGATAGGGGGCACTGGGCCCACAGGAAACAAATCTTCGAAAAGTGATAATGCGGTCATACAGAACCTGGGAACTGCGACAAGCTGCATCTAGCTTCCTGTTGCCTGTTTGCGACATGACATGGTAGGCTCTACTCGAGGCACTATGTCATGTCCGTGTAGGAACTGAGGACTTACACGAGAAGGCTTCCAGGATAATTTAGCTCCAATTTCAATGGGAATAATTAATTCATCATCAGTGCTAGGCGTTGCGTTCTGACTATAAAGAAGCCAAGAAATCGCTATTATTATTATTATTATTATTATTATTATTATTATTATTATTATTATTATTATTATTAGAGGGGTTGGGTTTCCCCATGCACTTAGACCAGTTATTGGTCCATTGTGCGTCCCCCTTTAATTTCTACAGTCGCCATCACCTACCGGTACTGGTGCGTGCTATCAACCCCGTTCAGCCAACGAGGTCGGCCGTCGGTAGCTGATATTTCCCCCATCTACCAGAGGCACTGGAAACTACTTGCGCGGGAAATTGTTGCCTAATTTTGCTCAGAGGTCTCCTAGAGACATGAAGATCTTTTACGTGCCGTAAATCTACGACACGGCTTAAAGTCCCTCCCGGAGGATTTGTTCCATGAATTTTTCCGCCCTTAAAAATTCCACGACCTCCGCCGGCTTTGAACCCGCGTACCTTGAGTCATGAGGTGGGAACGTTACCCCTTGACTACGGAGGCCGCTAAGAAATCGCTAGCTAAACATTAGTTGTAAGCCGGTCACGGCAGCCGAGCGGTCTAAGGCTAGTACTGTCTTCGCTCGCTTGGAAACCGGGATCGTGGGTTCGAATCCCACTCAGGGCATGGATGTTTAGTTTGTGTGTTTTTCTGTGTTTGTGTACAGGTAGAGGCCTAGCGACGAGCTGATCACCCGCCCAAGGAGTCCTACCGAATGTGTAAGATCTAGAAAATCCGAAGTGAACGGAGAAGTTCATGGAGGTAGGCCTAGGCCCACTGGGGCTGTAGTGCCAAGGAAAAAAAAACATTAGTTGTAAGTTGGAAATCGCAACCAATGGACCGATGCTCTTGTGAGAAGGTAACACAGAAACGAATCACTGAACTGTAGTGGTTATCACTAACTTCATCGTAAGGTCTGAAGCTGTGAGTATGGACGTCTTCTCAGGGCTTACGGGTTAACAAAGCATTAACAATCGTAACAACACACAATGTTTTAATGTAGGCTGGAATTATCTACATTAACCCCTCGACAGCTGAAGTTCATCTAAACAATACTGTCACGTGAGAGATGTGATGCGGGTGTATGCCCTCCTACCCCTTTCAACCATGCGGCACTTCAGAATTAAGTACCTA